CCCCCCCCCCCCCCCCCCCCCCCAGTACGAAAAGACCTGAGTGGTAGAGAGGTGGGTGGATGGAGGGTCGTGGAGACGGGCGAGCAAAAAGCCGGCACTCGGTGAGAGAAAAGTTGCCGGCGCCCCACAGGCAGGCAGGCAGGCAGGCAGGAAGGAAAACTAGACACGTGAAAAGAGGTAGGGGTATATAATATATGTGTCGATGTATGTCATTCGACCTCTGTCTGCTATGCTATCTGGTCATCGGGCATCCATCATTGACCAACACTACACCGCACCGGCCGCTGCGCTGCGCTGCTCCCATCGCATGGCATCGCATGCAGCCACACATCAATGAAGCAGTCGACTGTACAAGCCACATAGCCACACGCGAGCTACCTCCATCCATCCATCTGGCGGTCGTCCTCCCGACCCCTCTCCAGCCCTTCAATGTGTCAACACGCACAGGCGAGGCGCCACGTCTTCCGACCCCACTCAGTCAGTCGGCAAGTCCATCACTCGGTCTCAGTGGACGGAGTGATGGCCTGCGAGACAAGAAGGGAAGGACCAGCAGACACCCCGCATGCCATGCCATGCATGCCATCATGTCTGACTATCGGCCTGCCTGCCTGCCCCTTGACTAGTTACAGATACGTCAGCATGCAGGCATAGAACTCGTCCCAATCGATGTACCTGCATCATAACCACCACACACACACAGTGATTCCATCCATCCTTCCACTATCTGTGTCGCCACTGCGGGCTGACTGACCCGTCTCTGTTTTTGTCGATTTCGTCGATGCACTGCTGCACTTGCTCCTCGGTCAGGTGTGAGCCCATCCCTTTGGACGTCAGCGCCTCGCGCAGCGCTGCAGCCGAGATGCGGCCCTCCTTGTGCACGTCCAACCGCTCAAACGCCGCGCGCAGCTGCTGCTCCCTCACCGCGTCCTCATACTTGATCCTGGGAGACAGACCACATGACACACAGCGCACCACACCACACCACACCGTACCACACCATCAGCCTCTCATTTGCCTCTTGTCTGCCGTCCGTTTGTCGGGTTCCCCTCACCTCTTTGCGAGGAGTGCGCTGAGGAAGTCGTTGTATCCGATGCGGTTGCTGCCGGTGGGGTCGAACGACTCGAAGATGCGCGAGAGCTCGCTGCTGGGCGGCAGGGGGTAGCCCACGAGCCGCATGCCGGTCTTGACGTCCTCGAGGGAGATGGTGCCGTCCCCGCCCTTGTCGAGGGCCTTGAACTTCTTGCGCAGGTCCTCGATGACCCGCTCGTCGAGCTCCTTGGCCAGGTAGTTGAGGACAGCCTGCTTGATCTTGTTGTGGTGCTGGTAGTCGCGCAGACCCTCAAACACCGATGGGGTCAGCTTGGACAGATGCACGTGGTTGGCGCTCAGACGAAACCTGGCAGGCAGGGGCAGACAGACAGACAGATAGACGACGGACGGACGGACGGACGGACGGACGGACAGGGGGAGTGACGCACACGCAGTGCAGTGAGAGAGGGAATGTGTGTCGTGGTGTGGTGTGGTGTGTGGACTGACCAGTCGTGGGAGAGGGCCTGGCAGGCAGAGATGCGCCGCCGATGGTTCTTGTCCAGCAGACGCTCTGCATGGCATAGCATGGCACAGCACAGCACAGCACGAATGCACACATGAGTGAGTGTTGCAATCAATCACGCATGTGGGTGCGTCCGGTGGTTTACTGAGTAGGTCCTTGGCCTGCAGCGACACGCTTCCGAGTGCGTCGGGCGTCATGAGTGGCTCCTCGTTGAGTATCCGCGCCTTGACCGTCTCCTCGTTGTCGATGCCGGGGTTGTAAAACGGATGCTTCCCCGATAACAACTGCACGCCACGCCCAACCCAACACACCAAACACGTCAGTCACGTGTTGGGGCATGGCATAGCCTGGCTGGTGCGGTGTGCGGCTAAGCTGACTGGGCTGACTGACTGACCTGGTAGAAGATGATGCCGATGCTGAAGCAGTCGCATTTCTCGTCGTACTGGCCGCGGATCATCTCTGGGGACATGTAGTGGGGGGTCCCCGCACGCTGCATCTTGACGCGACGCACGTGCCACGGGATCAGATGCTTGCCGCTAGGCAACGTCGGCAGCTGACCGACCGACCGACGCACACACACAAAGAAACAGCCACATGAGTGCACAGGTTGTCTCGTTTGGTGGTGAGGTGGGTGAGTAGTGAGTGAGTCGTATTTACGAGTCTGGCGAGAGTGCCGAGTGTGCCCTTTCTGACTTCCTTGACCTCCTTGGCTGACATCTGGATCCTGGACAGGGTGCTCGACAGGCCGAAGTCGATGACCTTCAGGTCGCTGTTCTCGTCCTTGGTGCGGAAGAGTATGCTGCACATACACACACACACGGGGAGGTGCAGTCAGTGGCCATGGTGTGGTGTTTGTTGTGTACTTTTCGGGCTTGAGGTCCCTGTGGCAGATGCGCCGCTGATGGCAATACGACGTTGCACTCAGGATCTGCAGACACACCACAATCATCACATGCATTCCTGCACTGGGTGCTCGTCCCCCCTCCCCTCCGTCCTCTTCCTTTTGCCCTCACCTGTCTCATCCACTGCTGGACCTGCTGCTCAGTGATGAACTGGCGCTTGTGCTGGTGGTACTCGACGATCTTGTCGAACAGCGGACCCCCCTCACACAACTCGATAATCAGAAACACCGTGCAGCCCACGTGATACGTCTCGTACATCTGCACACACACACCAATACCCATCCCTCCATGTGGCCCGCCGATCCCGTGAATGTGTCCTTATATGTAGATCGTACCCGCATGATGTTTGGATGGTCGAGTTTCTTGAGGAGCTCGATCTCTGTCTTGACCAGCTCAAACTCCTCCGGCGCGCCGATAGCGATGGTTTTGCATGCGCGCCATCTGCCAGTGGCCCGGTGCCGCACCACCTCCACGCTGCCGAAGCTGCCCTTGCCCAGCTGGTTGCCCGTGCGGAAGAACTCGTAGTGCTGCATGGCACACAGACAGACAGACCGGTGGGGAGAGAAGGAGTGTGTCTGTCTGTCTGTCTGCGTACACACCTTGTCAAGCTGCTTCCTGCCCTTGTCGTCATAGTCCGGATACAGTAAATGCTCCTTGATCTGAACCACACACACACACACACACAGAGACAGAGAGAGAGAGAGCGTGCAGTGACCTCTCAGCCCTCGTACATGTGTCTGCTTGCATACCCTCAGCGGTGCGGTGTCGGGCCGTGCCCCATTCCGCTGGTCCAGAGAGTTGGCGCGCCTCTCCGCCCTCTCCCTCTCCTGCTCAGGCGTCAGCAGCCGGTTGGTCGTCGCCGGCCGACGGTGCTCGTGCCACACCCCTGCCGCGTCACGCACGCCCATCTGCGCATAGGCGCCGTACAGCCGAGGGTCGATGTATGGTGCCTGGTACTGCTGCTGCTGTTGCTGCTGGTGGGGGTCGTAGGCATACGGGTGAAATGTCGTGCACGCGTAAGGCGCCTGCGTGGATGAAGGGGACGCACAGAGAGACAATGACGAACGATCCCTTTGGGCCTTTATCTTCTCGTGTGTGAGTGACTCACCACAGGGTGGTATTGTATGGGCCCTGGCGGCATGAGCGGAGTCGCGGGGTACGACGGGACGGCACCGGGCAGCCGTGGGTCGCCATTCACCATGACACCGGCCTCACCAACATGACCGTTCTCCACCGACGGATCGCCCGGCGGCTTCTCATCCTCTGCTAGCGGATCAGCTGCCGCCGCGCTGGTCGAGGGGCTCGTGCTGTCGCTCTCTGGCTGCTGGTGCTGCTGCTGCTGCTGGTGGTGGGGGTGATCCTGGTCATAGGGAGGGGGAGGGAGGTTGGGGGTTGTGGGGATGGACGAACAGTCCGTCGGCGGGGTGGGAGAGCGGCGCGGCTGGCTGTGCTGACGGGAGGCATGCTGGTGCTGATGCTGATGCTGGTGCTGGCGGGACTGGTACGTCCGTAGGAGTTTGTTGTAGTGGAAGTCGTGATACTGATCACACAAAGACACAGACACCGACCGACCGCAAGCTGCATGGCGGTGTGTTGCTGGCTGTGTGTCAGTCATCAACCACACACCTGTTTGATGATATCGAAGAAGGAGTTGAACGTGATGTGTCCGCGCTGCTCGGTGTCATAGTTCTGGAACACGCTCTCGTACCACCTGCCACACACCCGCCGGCATACGGACGACGCAAGAATGAGATCACAGCCACACGTCAAGCGTCGCTCATTGTGTGTGCTTGGCATCTCCCTCCCTCCTTCCCTCTCTCCCTACAACAAACACACCTGTCACCGGGTCTGGGCACGAAAGGGATGCGCTCGAAGACGAAGCTGAGTGCTCGCCTGTTGCGCTCCCTGTCGACGCAGTCGCCGACGCACACACTGCGGAAGGCTGTTCCTGATATCTCGAGCAGCTGGCTGTCGGACAGGGGAGAGGGAACCCCTGTCACCCCACCGCCGCTCATCTCGATGGCCCCACGCGAGGAAGGGAACAAGGTGATCAGGGAACAGGCGTCTGAACACGGATGGCTTCGCGCATTTTTCCTCTCTCGGCAGCATCAAAGCTCGCAAGGAGTTCAAATCGAACCCTTTCGTTTCGAAGTGCAAGTTCACTTCAGACGTGCATAAAGCTGTCACAAACACGCGCCTGACACATCCATCATGTAGCATCTCTTGTCAGATGGCGCTGCGTGCCATGCATGCCTCGCTAAATGACCTCTGGAAATCACACATCACGATAGGTCACAATACAACGTGAGCAATAAGACCCGCTCTTCCACCCTATCTCCCCCCGTCCCTCTGTTACTCGAGAGCAGCCGACGCCAGCACTCGATGGATACGTGCATCATTCCCTCTACGTACACCTACAGCTAAAGCTACAGCCACAGACAGCTCCTGTCCTCATATACACACAAATATACACGAGGCACATGAATACCATCCTCCTGACTCGCTAAAACTTGTCTCTCATCATGCGGTTGACACATCAAGCACCTTTACCTGTGTGAATGCAAGCATAGCGGGCGCAGGATGACCGACATGGAACGATCATTCCCCTTTCCCCTTCGGTTCTCATTGACTCACCTGATCCCAGTTGTATACCACATACTCGGTGCCCGTCCGCCGCCCCTGAATGGTGACGCTGTCGTAGCCTACAGCTTTGAGGGACGTGTATGTCTCATGGCACGGATCGTACACGTGTTTGCTGTTGCCGAGATAGACGCGCGCCGTGACCATGTACCCAGAGCCCCCTCGTGCCTTCTCGTTCGTGTGTTGTGGAGTCTCGGCGAAGTAGATGCCAGGCCCCGCCATTCCAGACAGGCCACGGCGCATCTTGCCGGATGCCTTGATGGCCATTGCGGCTGTGTGGCCGGTTTGGTGGTACAGCACCGTACTCCTCGGGCAATGATCTGGAAGGTGATCGCTGTCCTCGTCGCCGCTGCAAACACGAAAGATAGAAACACACACAGTCACAAGCAGGTGGGACGACGTCAGTCTGCCCGTCTCATTTCCCACCACAGGTGACAGCGGTGTGTTGTGTGGCTCGCCCTGCAGCTGGGGACCTTGCATCGGCGTGCAGTGTAATAGTCGCTGTCGTCGTAAAGTATGACGACAATAGGGGATTCCTTGCTGTCCCCTCTGTCCTGAAGCATGACCTCCACGCTGCGGTCCAGTGCCATCATCCTGTAGCCGCTTAATAGTAGATCCTCTTCAGAGACCCTGGTACCGGAGACCTACACACACATTGACACCCACGACGCACGCAAGAGCGCATGTGCGTGGCATCCCATCCCATCCCATCTCTCTCCTCTGACCTTGCTGACACACTCGGCGAACTCCACAAGCTGTGTGCTGCAGTCGTAGCTGATCTGGTGTACGGCTCCAGACATGCTATTGACGAACACCTGGACATACTTGAAGGACTTTGGTTGCGGGAGGAAGGAGGAGGGAGCACAACCCATCTGATTCCTGAACGACACGACAGAGATGAAGACGCATCCCCCCACAAGCGGTCACCCTCGCCATGATTGGCGCGCGTGTGCCCCTCCTTCTCGGTTATTTCTCTCAAACTCTTCCGCGGAGGGCGCTCTACCCCAGATGGTAGCTCTCGAAATTGTAGGTATTAATAGCGCACGACGCAACCAGCGTCAAGAGACTCTCTCCTGTCCTGGGTGAACATGTTCGGAGCCCCCCTTTACTGCTGACCTCGTGCACGGCGTCCTGATGCTTCTGTGTGGCCTCTCCCTCTTCCTACTAGTTGTCTTCAGCGTCCTGCCATCATCAGCATCATCAGCGCAGGAGGGCGCCACGCCGCCCCCAGCAGAAGACCCTTTCACGACGGCGGACGACCCCTCAAGAAACAAGGAGCCGGCAGACACGTTTGCAGAAAACGAAGCGTCACTTCAGGCGATGTTCGGGGAGGACGGCCCGTCGGATGTGGACGATGATGCCATCGTGTGGTCGATGTTCCCGTTCGCCAAGCCGAGGAGGGGCCCCTTCGCGTCCTTTGAGTACGTCTACCCCCGCCCAGGACGCTCCCACGTCCACCCCACGGCCACCATTGCAGTGAGGGAGGGCGGCCTTGTCGATGCTGAGAGCGTCAGAAACAAGTTCATTGTGGAGGGGTCGCTCAGCGGGGCTATCGAGGGGAGTGTGGAGGTGGCGGACGACCACAAGACGGTCCTGTTTGAGGCCAGCTCTCCTTTCTACAAGGGCGAGACCGTCACGGTCACGATCAGGGCAGATGTCCATGTGGGTGCGGCAGACGACAGCTCCTACGCAGACGACGGGAAGAGGTCTGTGCGATGGCTGGATGGCTTCCAGTGGTCCTTCAATGTCAGCACCGATGTCGAGCCCTACGGGGGCGACGAGCATGGGAACAAGACCCACGAGAACGAAGAGCATAGCGACAAGAGTTACCAGACGGATCAGGCGAGCAAGGATTATGAGGCCACCGAGCAGCCCGCTGCGGCCTCATTGAAATCGTCGCCCCATGGCGGTCACAAAATCCGACCGAAGGCGGCCACCAAACTGGAATATCAAGACGATAGCTCAAGTGGCGACGACACCTCCGATCTGTTCGTCCCCTTTGACCGCTCAGAAGCGACAACCGGCCCGCCAGAGATGCAGCCAGAGGGAGAGGATGAGGGAGAGGGGACACCTGATCAAGTCGGCAGTGCCGAGCGGGACGAGGCCTACGGGCCGACCGCAGCCAATGAGACGACTGGATCGGAGGAAGCCGGCAGCGGCTCGGCTGATGTCCATGGAGAGGGAGAGGGGGAGGGAGCGGAGGCTGACAAGTGGTACACCGGCCCTGACATTTACAGTGACCAGTTCGCCGAGTTCGATCAAAGTGACGGCAAGGGCGGCAGGAAGAGGAGGAGGGAGGGAAAGGGGAATTCGTCTTCTTCCATCACGGAGCACTACCAGCTGCTGCCCGACGACTTCCCCCACATCAGAGTCACACTTAGGGCCAAGGAGCCCAGCCCCGCACCGGGGTACCTCTTCCTATCCAGGTGAGCAACTTTTGCTATAAGCATCCCACAAACACGCACACAATGGTCACTTCTGCCTGTCTGTATGCGTGTGTATGTATGTGTTGATGTCAGCATTGCGCACTACAAAAAGTCGGTTCAGAACTATCTGCTGATAGTCAACGACGAGGGTGACCCCGTGTGGTACCGGCGGCTGGGCCAGCAGAACCACGGCCGCATGGGATGGACCGTCAGGGACTTCAAACCACACCACGGCAAATGGCTCACCTACCATGACACCTACAAGTAATGCATTCACGCAACACACCACTGGCCCCTTCAAATGCATTACGCTCCTCTCCTTCCCTCTATCTATGTGGAAGGAATGGTTGGCACGTGCTGAACAATCGCTACGAGGAGGTCAGGTTCATCCGGCCGGTGGAGCACGCCCGCAGCAACGGCCACTGCATGCAGATAGCAGCGGACGGCAGGGTGCTCCTGCTGGCCAACGATATGCGCAAGGTCAGGGCCCTGCACGGCCCCTGGGGCGGCGAGGAGACTCTCGTGCTCGGCGTGCAGATACAAGGTGGGTGGGCTGTATGCAGGTGGCTGGCTGGGTTGGGCACTGGCACGCACGCGCTGCTGAAATGTACGCTGTGCGGTGTCTCTGCAGAGTTGACTCCCATGGGCAAGCCTGTCTTCATTTGGAGCTCGTGGGAGCACTTGCCCATGCAGTTCACGGCCACAAGCATCCTCAGGGGACCGAACGCAAACATCGACCACCTACACGTGAGGCATCCCCTGCCCTCGCCAACCACACACACGTTCCCCCCATCCATCTCATCCTCTCTCTGTGAGTTTCCTTCCCACCAGGGCAACCATGTGAGCTGGACGCCCGACGGTCACATTTTGGTGTCCCTGCGTCACCTGCACAAGGTGCTCAAGATCAGCCGCCGCACGGGAGAGGTTCTCTGGTCCATCGGCGGCAGAGGCGGTACCATCAGCATCAAGGACGACCCAGGCTTCAGGTGGCAGCATGACGCCCGCATATCCGTCGCTGAGCCCGATGTGCTGACGGTGTACGACAACGGTGGGATGGAGGACATCAGGACGGGCCATGTGGTCAAGGACAGGCAGTACTCGAGGGGCGTCGCCTACAGGATCGACGCCGAGGCACGCACCGCCACGAAGGTGTGGGAGTTCTCTCACCCCAGAGGGCAGAAGGTCTTCAGCTCTGAGATGGGCAGTGTGCAGGTGAGCGAACGAATGACGAGCGACGTACACACACACACACGCACAGAGACAGGGAAGGGAACACATGTGTGTGTGGTGCGTTGTCTATGGATGGTGGTGGCGTGTCAGATGTTGCCAGGTGGGAGAGGCCGCTGGGGCGTGGCGTGGTCAGGGCTGATCGGCCCTCAGAACCCCCTCTACACTGAGACGGCAAATGGCTCAGAGCGGGTACTGGAGATGAGCTACATGTGGGACGAGCTGACCTCCTATCGCGTCACCAAGGGCCAGTGGGTCGGCAGGCCCGCACACAGACCCATCCTCGTGCTCACAGGAGTGCACCCTTATGACGCGACACTCACGCCCAAACTCAGATACTCGTGAGTGCGCCGACCACACACACAGAGGACAGAGATGCAATCCTGTATGTGGCACATGAAGGTGGAACGGTGCGACGGGGGTGCACTCATGGCGGCTGTATGCGCACCCCCAGGGCGGCAAGCGTGTGGAGATGAGGCGGCACCTGGCCGTGCGCTTCGAGCATGCCATGAGCCTCACCAGGTGGAAGTGGCACCCTATTTATCAGTGCATCGACTACTCGGCCGTGCCCTTCGACAGGAACGGCAAGCAGATGACCAGGTCGCGGCGCGTCAGAAGCCCCGCCTGTCACGAGCAGCAGCAGCAGGAGGAGGAAGGGGACACCATTTTTGTGCCAATGCCGCCCGCAGGCAAGATGCTGCCGCCTCCTTCCCATGCCACCACCAACGCGACGGCGACCACCAATGTGACCGTGACATTACCTGACTACCTGATGGCGATTGCGGAGGAAAAGAGCAATAAGAGCGTGGTAGAGGGAGAGGGAGGGGGAGGCAATGGTGCTGCACATCTGAGGGACGACCGTAGTCACTAGTGGCTGATCATGTCTATCGCTTCTGTACTGCCTCTCTCCAGTAGGTGGGTATAGGTAGGCAGGGCAGCATTTTGTGTATGTATTTGTAGCACTTTATCTATCGGCATTTGTGCGGTAGGTATTTGTGTGTGTGTTTGCTTGGCTGCCTGCTTGGTGTTGTATTGTTAAACGTTGTCTGTCTGTCTGTCCATATTCGTGGATGCATCCATGCCATGAGTGTGTGTGCCCCAGTCTGTGTGGGTGTATGTGCGTGTGGGTGGGTGGGTGCGCCGGTGTGTTGTGTCGTGTCACATTAAGCGGTCCATGAGCTGCGTGGTTGTATGTTCGACACAAGTGCTTTGCTCCCTGGCTTGAATCAGGCAATACCATGCACACATGCGCAGAGCGTGTCTCGTCCGTCTGCCCGCTCAGACACATCTCCCCGTCATCAATGGAGACACACAGAGATAGGGAAACCAACATCGAGATATAAAATGCAGGCAACGATACCTGTTGCGCCTTCACACTCAACGGCAGCACAGCAGGTGAGTGACACGTGCAATGGAATGGCGTGGCCTCGTCTAATTGAGGCCCGGTGAGGGTATGCACTGATGCTCAATTACGGCTCGCTCGGTGGATAGTGAATCCGTCGGTTGCACTCCACTCAAGACCAGCCTTGCACCCTGCCGGCGATAGGCAGCCGACAGTCGGTGACGGAGGCGAGGTGTAGAAACTTTAGACTGGATAAGGGAGCTGGGGCTGGATAAGGGAACTGGCTAAGGGAGTGGGGGCTGGATAAGGGAGGGGAGTTGGATGTTATTGGTTGGATTGAGTGAGTGCATCAACGAATGGATGCCATTGGCGATTGTGTGAATGGACATCCGTGCGTTTCAACGTTTTTTGCATCCATTGGTCGTCGGGCATTCCGTTTACACAATGGATCGTGAACTTTCTGAGCTCGCCGATCTCGGACAAGGCTCCCCGGGGAAACTTGCATAGGCCGGACTCATCATCGCATGCCGCAGTGACAGCATGATGATAGGCGGCCCCCCGTTTGATGGTTACCATGCCCATGGCGGCAACGTGCCAATGCCTGGTAAGGCAGAGAACCTCGCAGGAATGGCGGACGCTATGCGGCCACTGCATTTTGTGACTGACTCATAAATTCTTGTCAGAGTTGGTGGCTATTGAGGAGGAGGAGCCTGAGGAGCTCAAGGAGAAGAATCTGCTTGAGAGGGTGATCCGTGGCCAGATAGAGGAATACACCATCAAGAAGATCCTCCAGGTGGGTCTGCCAGAAACGGCGTTTGCAGTGTGTGGTGCGGCCGATGGCATGTGTTTCTGCGATTGATGCGTCTTACCGGCGGAGTGTGTGTGTGCGTGCAGTCGTCTTTGTATGGGAAGGTGTGTCAGGGCGTCGGCAACGTCACGAGCGACGATGTGGCCATCAAAGTCCTCCACAAGGTCGGCAAGTCTGACCACCAAAGGCACCACCGTAGCAGGCACCAGATCGTGGTCATGTCATGGCTGTGTGTGGTGTGCAGGACCTGATAGGCAGGCAGGAGAAGAACCGGCAGCTGCCCGAGACCCCCTTGGCCGAGGTGTTCTTCGCGCACCTGCTCCAGGGACACCCACACGTCATGTCCATCCGGTGCGTCGATGAGGGGGTCGGGGAGGGGGTTGGGGAGGGGTGGATCAGACCAGCAGCCACACGACACATAATAAACGGGGTGGTACACGGCGTGTATGTCTCTGTCATGTCATACGTGCCGTCAGCGAGGTGTTTGAGGACGAGAAGTGCCATTTCGTGGTGAGTGACCTTGCCACGGGAGAGGACCTTGTCGAACTGGTCAGCCGTACGAACGAACGAACCCACAAAGACGAACTGACTCTGTGTGTGTGTGTGTGTGTGTGGCTGCCACTGATGGTGCAGTTGAGGAAGCATCGGGGCGATCTGCGGGAGGAGCACGCCCGCACGTTCCTCCGACAGGCCGCTGAGGGGCTCGCTTTCCTGCACTCACAGGGCACGCACAACGCAACGCGCACACACGCTCGCTCCTCCACACACTGCATTCACTCACCATGTGTCTGTCTGTTGGTCCTGCACTGCTGCATCAGGTTTGGCGATGCAAGATTTTAGCCTGGAGAACTGTCTGCTATTCCTCACGCCCGATGGCAAGTACCACGTGCGCATCTGCGACCCCGGACAGGTACGCCTGATCAAGCACGGTGCTATTGGCGTGCTGTGTGCTGTGTGTAATGGATGCGGTGTGTGGGTCAGGCTGTGGTCTTTTTGATGGCTCCGAACGGCGTTGAGGTGCCTGTCGACTACCGGGGCTACATCGGCAAGAAGTTCAGACCGCCCGAAGTGCACTACGAGGTCGGTCTTGCCATCCCCACACCAAGCACGTGTGCGTCATGCATGTCTGTGTGTGTGGTGGTGTGCAGGGGCGTCCGTACTTCGCCAGTCGTGTGGACAGCTGGTGTCTCGGCTGGTCGGCCTTCTACCTCCTCTTCGGAACCGAACTCCTCGATGTACACAAAGACAGACAGACAGACAAAGAGACCACACACACTGGCGCATACACGTAAAGCATAAGACAACACGTGTACCGATGTTTCTTGTCTTCTTCTCTCCCCTGTCAGAACGCTCATCCCACTGATCATCCCGAGGATGACTGGAGGTGGTTCGAGCTCTGCAGAGGTCACATACACAGACACGGGAGAGATCGGAAGTAGTTGAGATGGACTGTGTGTGTGTGCGCGTGTCTGTGTGTATGGCTGCAGGCCGCCATGAGCGCGTGTTTGAGGCTCTGGGCGTGCAAGACCGTCTCAGCCCGGCCGCGAAGGGTACACACACACACACACACACAGCAACGCCCACCACCCCAACCGCACCCAGTGGGCCGCCACCACTCTCTGCGCCGTCCTGTTCTCCTTCTTCCTCTTTTTGGGCCAGACTTCATCATGCGGCTACTTCAAGTGCAGCCCCAACAGAGGATGTAAACACCAGCACACAATTCCACTGGGAGGCGGGCAGTCTGTGTGTGTGTGTGTGTGTGTGTGTGGCTGCCTTGCAGGAGTGTGCAAGCTGCCCTGAACCATCCGTGGCTTCGTGACGCATCGCTCGAGACGATGGACGCCATCCCGGAGCACCTGAAGGTCGGCAGCCACTCGAGCGGGTCGGCCGGACCTAGCGACAGGGAGGACGATGCTGAAGAGGAGAGGTGCGCGCCACGAGCGGGAAAAGGAGGCTATACTGCATTGGAGAGTCTGTGTCTCCTCTTCGGTTTGCTGTCTGGGTATGTGTGTGTCAGTGGTCGTGAGGATCGCAGGAGAGGGACGAGCGACGAGCAAGAGAAGAGGCGCCGGGCGAGGCGGCTGCTGCAGGTAAGTCGGGGAGCTGCGGGAACGACACCCACACCCACACAGCGCTGATGCGATTTGGTTCCTTGCATCCCATCCACCCCTTCCCACTGCACTGCACTGCAGAAGGTGCCGCTGATCCCCGAGAAGTACAAGCAGTACATGCACGACCTCTGCCGCATGGACAAACCGTCAGGCGCCATACTCGCCCCCACACCAAAAGCACCGAAAGGCGCCTCGCATGCCGATGCAGGCCTCATGGGGCGATTTGCCGAGCAGATGAAGATCCAGGGGCCGCTCGTCGTGGCGCCCAAGGTTGGCGGGATTGGCGGGGGTCGGGGCGCAGTGCTCTCGCCACCGCCTTTGAGCGGGCACCTTCCCCACCATCAGCATCATCACCACCAGCGCCATCAGCAGCAGCAGCAGAGTGAGGGTCTGCCGCCTACGGCGTGGTGGATGTCTCAGGGGTCGCAGGGCGGGCAAGGGGGCCAGGCTTCGATGCAGCAACAACACGTGAGACGGCACGAGAACGAATGAATACTCTGCACTGTCGCTTTATGTGTGCTTTGCCAGGGTGGGTCGTATGCGACGTGGAACGTCCTCCGCACGACCAACTTACTGCCCATGCCGCCCTCCTTTCCTGTCGGTGCTGCAGGTGGTGCATACCGAGGCAGCTCCCCGGCTCCGGCAGCGGCAGCACCAGCAGCCACTGCATCTGTAGGTCAGATCGGCCCACAGGCTCTGCCCCGGTCCATCACGCGCTTCGCCGGCCACCGGCCAGGCCATGCTCAGATACACATGGCTCAGAACCAAATGCGGTCGGTGGAACGTCGCACGTAAAAAAGGAAGCTGAAAGAGACAGCTTGTGTGTGTGTGTGTCTTGTGTGTGGTGTCTGTCTTGTTGTCTGTCAGTTGTGTGTCGCCTCTGCCAGTGTCGTCGGCGCGTCTGCATCACGGAGAAGGCTACATCGGCGTCGCGACGGTGCCGGTGGGCCAGGTGCCGGCAGCAGAGATGACCCTCTGAAGGCTGTAGTAGTGCGTGTGTGAGTGCTGTGTAGAGCGGTTGGATGAGTGGCGGAGTTTTGTCACTTGATGGATGGATGGATGGACAGACACAGCGAGAGACCCTAGGATGAATGCATGAGTGCAATCAATCGCGTGTGGTCGTCCGCCATGCAGCCACCAAGGTAGATAGATGGAACAGCCAGATAGACTAGAAGAGTAGAAGTCGCTCGCTCTCTCGCTCCAGGCCCTTGCTCGCTCACTCACTGACACACCAATAGTAGCTACACACCAACCGACACGCCCAGCAGCAGCAGCACCACCACCACCGTAAGTCGTCTGACCGTAACTTCCCAGGGCGGGCGTCGCGCTGCCGCTCCTCTGTTGCCCGTGCTCCTGCAGCCGCCTTTATGTGTGGGGGTCTGAGGTCGTCGTCACCGGCCGTTGGCTCTCAAGGAGGGAGCAACCCCCACCTCCGCAGCATCTGCAGACGCACAGAACACAGTGGCACTGATCAGAATGTGATGAATGGCCGTCACCTCACCCTGTCTGTTCTCTCCTGCGCCACGCGGGTGTGTCTCTCCTCTGCCCTCCTCAAATGGATGAGGTGCGTAGGCCAAGGAGAAGATGGATCGGCAAATATAAAATGAAGGCAGCAATCTGCACAGAGAGACACAAACAGACACTTCAGTCTCCTGACAGCAGGTCTATAAAGATGGCGACAGTGCATTGTGTGACGGCCCACTTGCTGACCTCTTTGGCCCTCCTCGCCTCCTGATCTCCCATTGTAGCAGCAGAGAGGCAACAAAGGTAAGAGAGACGGACATGTCTAGAGAATCGGCTCACTTACGGCGTCAGTGAGGTTTGTGGCCATGGTCGTGCTGCGCATTCCGAGGAGAGGAAACAGATCCACAGATATCAAATGGAGGCAGCAATCTGCACAGAGAGACAACGACACACAACATAATTGGCTGCATGACATGCCTGTATCTGCCTTGCACCTTTGTGCTCACACCTATAGACAGACAGACAAGCGAGCAGGCAGTCAGACAGACAGGCAGACAGACAGACAGGCAATCAGGCAGACAGACAGACAGGCAGACAGGCAGGTTAGCGACGGCAGCATGGAAAAATAGTCCCCTGCCATTCCCGTCTACACACAACAAAAATCCGCCGCCACCGACGCCCACCACCACCACCACGACTCATGTTCCCAGTGAACCTCCCACATCTGCCCCTCCCGCCTCCAATACTCTACCCTCCCGCTCGCTAAATCCCCATACCAGCCCTCCTCCCCCTCCCCCGCCACATGTACAGGTACCTTGTAAGGGTACCGCTGGTGGTGCTGGTGCTGTTGCTGCTGCTGCTGCACGGGTGGGGCTGGCTCTGTTGCCTTGGGATCGTGCTGCCATCGGTGGTGCTGGTCGTCCACAGGCGGGGGCGGGGGATAGGTCACGGGGTGCTGCTGTGGATGTCTGGGCTCGGCGGGAGGGGAGTAGACATCGTACTGGGTCTGCTGCTGGTGCTGCTGCTGCTGCGTGCTTGGATGTCGTCCATACGAGGCCGCTTGAGTGTGGTCTTGGGAAGGGTAGTGAGGCGATTGATGGCCCTGAGCGATGCCGCCATACACCGTCCGCGGCAGCTTCTGCCATTCCTGATGCCGCTGCTGGTCCGTGCGATGCCGGCCGCCCCTTCCTCGCAAATCGCCGCCTCTGTTGTGATGAGGGAAGCCGCCCCGGTCGCCTCCATGAGGTGGTGGAATGGCACCACCCTGCTCATGAGCTGCAGGTGGTGGCGGCGGCGGGGGCTGCTGCTGCTGATGGTGCTGCTGTTGGTGGTGGTCGTGCGATCCCCCCTCAGGATTGGGCGCATCCCACTCAGGCAACCCACCATCGGCAGCAGGGTGCGCTGATCCCCCCTGTTAAAAAAAACCCACTTGGCGAGAACCTGCCCGCACAAGGACAACAGTAAAGACACATCCTGAATGACTGGTACACATATCACTCACAGCGTCGGTCTTCTTTATCGCTTCTTCACTCAGCTTCTCCTCGGCCCTCTTGAATGCCTCCCTCTGCAGAAGTACATCATTGGCCAACACACCGGCATTCATCAGACGCACATCCATGCGACCCACATCCTCACCGCTTCTGGCGTCTGCTCCCACAAACGGGCGGCCTCCCAACTGCGGCCGTGGTGGGCCTGCGCGGTGGCAGACACGGAAACAACCGCCGGATGTATCCAAAAATTCTGTGAGTGCACCTCCGATAGCTCTCTTTCTCTTACCATGGCTATGGCGTCGTACCTGGCCCGTGCCTGCTCGTCTGAGAGCACCTCGTACGCCCTCCCCAGCTGCTGAAAGGCCGCCGTTTCCCCGCCCTTGTCCGGGTGGTGCAGCTGCAGCACACACAGTCACAGAGAGAGAGGAAGCGAGAGGTCACCTGCCGTCTCCCCTCCCCCTTCCGTGCCCTCATGGCGAATTTTTCACATCGCCGGGCGAGGGAAACAGAAAACCACGGTGAGTTTTTCACATCGCCGGGCGAGGGAAACAAACACAAGTGGAGAAGGAGGGTTGGAGGGAAGTGTTGACGTCAGGAGAACGGGAAAATGTGTAGAGGAATAAAAGTCCCCTTCGTCTCGTCGCGGCGAGAATTCGCGGCGAGAATTCCAAACCCCGCCGCGAACCCTAAACCCTGTCGTTCTTGTCTTCAGAAATACAGCTGCAAATGGCGGGCAACCGGAAGTTTGTGGGCTGGACGACAGTCCAAATCGTCGACTCAGATGGACTGGAAAAGCGGGTCAAAGGTGAGGTAGGAAGAGGTTTAGGGGCACGACGACACGGTGCGTCGAGTATGCGCCTGTTGTGGCATGCAGGGATGGCTATGACGGCGCCTATCCACATCAAGGTAGCATTTCCTTGTGCTTTCATGTCAGACTGAGCATTGTTGCTTGTCACACGTGCGTTCAGGAGTCAGGCGGTATGGTCACTCTAACATCTGATTTCCCGCGAGCAGATCCGATACGATTGGTCCATCTCACGGGATCCGACGATGACTATGTCACGGTGAGCCGCCGCTATCTGCAACACACAAAAGATCGTGGACGGACACACTCTCTCTCTGTGTGGCGCGTGTGTGTGTGTATCAGGCTCGCTGGCAGGCCGGCCACGTGGATAGCAAGGGCAGCGGACACAACCGCCTGATCTGTGCCCTCAAGACCATCAGCGCCAAGAAGTAGGCAGGTCGTTGTGGGATTGATTGTCGTCCGAGGGGTCTCATCCATCCACATGTGTGCAGGTCGTTTGATGAGCAGGCCAAGGACGACTGCCACGTGTTCGTGGGCGAGGCCCACGTGCCCTTCTGTGCGAATGGCTACGACTGCCCAGTCAAAGTCAAGGTCAAACACACACACACACGTGGCCGCCTATACATGTGTGGTGTGTTCGTTGTTCTACATGTGTGGTGTGTTCGTTGTTCAGTTTACGACGTCTGAGTTCAAGCTCGTCACGCGGGTAAGGCGCTCGAGCGGTGCACACAGACACACAACTCTGATGCTTGGTTGTCTGCGTATGTGTGGGTTTGATGCAGATCGTCAAGGTCGAGGCTGAGATCCCCGCTACGATGTGGAAAGAGTGGAGCGAATACCACGAGGCACTCAAGGTGTGTCGCCCATTCACCCATTCACCCACCCAATGCACACATCACATCAGATCGGACCCATCTGTTTACGCGTGTGTGTATGCGCAGGAGTGGGAGAAGGAGATGAAGGACGACCACAAAGACTGACAAATAGAGTGATGCCCTGATATATCGGTGGTGGGTCGTGCGTTTTCGGTGCGTGCAAGGCACGTGAGTTGAGTTGATCAGTGGGGAAGCCGGGGGACTGATAGAGTTTACGTACGTGTCAGCAGTGCATGTGGTGTGAGGACTTTTGTGCCCTTCTCGGATTTTCCTGCTCCCCAATGCTGTCATGAATTCACTCATTGGCCACGAGTACCGAAAAACATAAGTCAGTTATTGAGTGAGGGGATGCTATGCTCTCTGTACAGACAAGTCAGTTGCATCGTCTCATATGCACACACACACACACACACACCGCGACAGAAAAGCCGATGTGAGACCAATGACCCAACTCCACTCCACACAAACATGCACACGCCTCTATGAGGCAGGCAGGCAGTCAGGCCAAAAAATGATGATTCACACCTCTCACCTTAGCTTCATTGTCCGACCACACGCCCACAGCCCACTCCCTAGGACGGCGGAATGCCGCCCGGCGTGGCCCCCGGTGGTATCATGTTGACATCCTGCTTGACATAGTATGAGTACCAGCAGATGGCCAGCGCCAGGGGAAGGGCCAGCAGCGCCAGCTTGACGTCAGACCACTTCTCGTCGTCAGCCACCCACTTGTACACGGGCGTATCTGCCACACCACGTGGGAAAGGAGGCGTGTCATGACATGGCGTGTGATGTCTTGGTGGGAGAGAGGGGCGGGTTGGCACCGCACTCACCGAAGAGAGGATTCAGCTTCTCTTCCAGTTCGTACTGCCAGTTGGGGTACTTATCGATGAGCTCCCGCTCCTTCTGAGCCATCCTCTTGTCCTCGTAATACCTACAACCATGATGCCGCCAGACAGACAGACAGACAGACGGATGGATGGATGGATGCGTGGCTGGCTACGTGTCCCTGTGTGTCACTACGCACCTCTCCGCCTCCTCGACAGCGTTGGGTCTGTCCATGTTGAGGTCCAGGAACTGAAGCTTCCACCGAAGCTTCTCAGATATCCTGAACAGGCGGAACACACCCAACCATTGGAAGGGGTGTGTGCTATGCCTGTGTGTGACTGTCTGACCTTCTCTGTGCGCGGATGTCCCTGATGCATTCCCCGAGCTTGTCTGCGCCTGTCCATCTATCCCGACCCTGCTGCTCAAACTCATTCATCAGACGCTGCACACATTCACACACACACACACACATTTTGAAAAGTCAGTCACGTCCAACTGCACATCACATTCGCCCCACCCCAGGCAGGTTCGTGTGCACCTCACTGACTGACCTCGAGCTTCCTGAGCTTCTGCTCCTCATCCCTCAGGTCGGCCTCGATCTTCTCCTTGGCTCTCTTGTTCTCCTCCCTCGCCCGCATCGCCACGGGATCATCCACATTCACTGCCGAAGCACCGGCAGCAGCGGCACGCGGCTTCTCGTCAACTGCAGCCATTGTCCGAGGCTCCGGACCCTTCACTGTTGAGGAAAGAGCCCATGAATCACCGACACGTGGCCGCCGCCTCGCCAGCACTGCGGATCTTGGCGCGTCGATGCTGCTGAGGGAAACGCATGGCTGGAATGCTGTCCTGGTGGTCACTGCGGGAATGCCCAGCGACGGCGCGATGAAAGACAAACAGGCAAGGAGGCACCACGCCGGAAATGACAAAGATGTAGAATGCCGCATCTTCGCAAATGACACCACAGCTACACAACGCAATGCCCTGCAGTTGCCACCTCTATCTCCACCCTTCCGATTTGCGAGCTTGGAAATGGCGAGCTTGGAAAAGGCCACAGGACCAAAGTCGCTGTACGCGTGAAGCGCTGCCGAGAACGACTCATTCATCCGTCAGAGATGGCATCAGAAGAGACCCTTCAGAAGCCGCCCGCTGCATTGCCCTTCTATCGTGAGGCCAGATTCTGGGTGGTGTCCATCAGCCTCTTCCACCTGTTGATCTCAAGCGGCTTGGGCATGGGCTGGGGCGCCACCACCATTATGCGTGCGTGCATGAAAGAGTGAGCCGTCCACATCATGGCTTCCCTCCCCTCTGTCTGGTCTGCAGTGCTCGAGGCGAATGTGTACAGCCACATGTGCACGGAGGAGAGCTTTGACCCAGAGACCGGCAGCTGCGAGGAGGAGGCGGTCCATTTGAACCTGATCTTCACTGTGTGCGTGGCCTTTCAAATGGTGCTGGGGCTGCCTCTGGGAATCATTCTCGACAGAATCGGACCCAAGTGAGTCACTCAGCAAGATCACAACACAGCCAGGCTGCCGTGTGGTGGGTGATCTGTGCATTGTGGATGGATGGATGGATGGATGGATGGATGTGCACTCACTGTAGGATGGTGTTCTGGATGCATCTCACTCTCACAGTAGGCGCTTATCTTGTCGGCCTGGGTCCGAAGGGAGAGGGTGAGTTCGACTACACCTTCCTGGGCTTCTTCTGCCTCATCGCACCGGGGACGGGTGTGGCTCTCTATGCGACTCACTGCGCCAATCTATACCCCAACAACTACGGCCTCGTCACAGCATTCTTCTCGACCGTATTCGGCACTTCCAGGTACACGAGTGTCACAATGAATGCGTAGACAGACCCATCTGTGTCTGTCCATCTGTGTGTGTGCGTGTGTGGGATCAGCATTGTCTTCGCTGCCTTCCAGCTGATCATCTCAGAGACCCCTGTGACCTTTGATGACATGTTCCTCTACTACGCCATCGTCCTCACCCTCTTCCTGCCCTTCCTCGCCATGCAGCCGATGCGCCACTTTGACAGAGGCGACAAGGTCGCCTTCAGCATCGCCAAGGGCGGCTTCTACCGCATCCCCCCAACTACGGCCCCGCGCAAGCACGCCCCCCACCTCTCACAGACCACCCTCCATTTTGACTTGAGACATCTCAGCGCCGAGCAGCTGAAGCCGCCGCCAGATGAGGAAGAAGACACGCCGGTCATGGATCCGCGAAAGACGATGAGTGACCCTCCGGTCGACCTCGCCATGGACAGCGAGACATCCGAGGTGAGGGCGGCCGTAAATGCTGTGGTGGGGACCGTGCCGAAGGCTGTGACGGCGCAGGCGCAGCAGCATCAGCAGCATGGCAAGGGTGCAAAGGACTATGATGCGGTGATCAAGTGTCTGGGGCACCCGAAGACGAGGCTGGGCAAGGTGGTACGGCAGATGTGCACCCTCGACTTTATGCTCATCACGATATACCTCACCATTTGGTACTTCATCTTTCAGGTATATCAAAGACACCCCATGCATGTGGGCCGCTCCATCCATCCATCCATCCATCCCCCCCATCCACGTACATCCTTTTTGTGTGTGCGCAGTTTTATCTGGGATCGGTGACCCTTCAGCTGCGCGAGATCGTCAAGAGTGAGGGCATCAGCGACGTGGAGGGCACCACGACGCTGTGGACACAGGTCTTCTCGTGGGTGGCGCCTATGGGGTGGATGAGTGCACTGGGGGTGGGGGCGATAGCGGACCGATATGGCTGGACCGTCTCGCTGATCGCGCAGATTGTGGTCGGTGGGTGGGTTGGCACACACCGCGAGGACCACCGCAGCGCTTTCCCTCTCTCTCTCTCTCTCTGTGTGTGTGTGTGTGTGTGTATCGCTCTCTGTGTTTGTCAGGTTGGGTGGGGTCATTTGATATGTGGTCTGATTCGGGTGTTGGCGCTGCAGCCGCTGGTGGGGTTTTAGGGGTGTGAAGTGATAGTTTCGGTCTGTTTCACCCGTGTTTGTGGCGTTGTGATTATCGTTCAGACATTCATCTTTTATACGTTCAGCCAGGAGGCTACCTATGCTTTATGTATGGCACTATGGGGTAAGGGAGACGAAAGCGATAAATGAATGCGCCAGACATTCGCATCTCATGGGCTCGTGTGTGCATACACAGGAGACTCTTTTGGCTTTGAGGACTATTGCACTCTCGCTGGTTTTGGTGTTCTCGTTATGGGTATACCCCTCCTCTTCATCACGCCAATCGTCAGCGCTGTGGTGGGCAATCCCCCCCCCCTGTCCACTCGGCACTCTGTCGCCCATCTCTCTCCCTTGTCTCTCTGTGTGTGCAGCTCGACGATGGTGGCGACTTCTCCCCCCTCAGCATCGCTTTCCTTGCTATCAGCGTCGTGACGCTGGTCCTCCCATACTATCTGTCCAGGCCGCAGAAGAAAGCAGCCCTTGCGAGCAGCAGGAGGGCACATGAGGGAGGGGGTCGGGGAGAGGGAGAGGAGGGGGGTCCGGACATGAGTCGGCGTTCAGTGTAGCAAGCTTGTGTGGCTGGCTTATGTGGTCGGGTAAATGTGTGTGTCTTTGGGCAGTAGGTCGCTGTTGTGGTTGGGCGCACAGTATTTGTCTCTCTCTCGTTGTGTGTGTATGTGTTGGTGGCTGCGGTGCAGACCGACAGCCATTTTGTGAGTCATAGAGAGCCACATGGATGGAGCGACTGTGTGACGGGACGGATGGCCGGCTGCAGCCATGACAGACATGGCACTCTTCCTCTTTCAGCCCAGCCAGATAAACGAGCAAAGTCCGCTCTCACCTCAGCCCTCTCATGTCAATGTGCTCTCGATTAGTGTGCTCTCTGCTATCAATACACCCACCCCACCCCACCACACCCCTCCCTCACACAACACACACATGGATGGATCCACAGTGTCACGATAGAGGCATGTGTCTCCGGCCAGGGTTGCGATGATCGCACCTCACTTCACCTCAAGCAGCCGGCCATGGCCATGAAGAGACAAATGCTAGGGTACAGAGAGAGTCCAGTTGGTATGAATGCCAGAAGCGGGTGTCAAAACACCCTGTGAGTGCGTGTTGGTCTGTGAGAGCCCTGTGTTAAACGTAAGCAAACTGATCGGTCACAAAAAGCGAGTGCGATAGATACATCCATCAGGTCCCTCCCTCCCCCGTGATCGTGTGTGTGCGCAAATGGGCGCATAAACGGACGCAAACAGGCCTTTACGCATTCATAAACAGCAACCCGCCCCCACCCCTCTCCCGCCCCACACACACTGAAAAGGACAAGAATGACTCATCCATCCATCCATCGGTCCTTGTGTCCGTCATTCCTCTCCAGGCACGATCTGCTCTCTCTCGCCACTGTCCGTCCGTGTGTTTCATCCATGCACAGCACACTGCGCCCGTAGCTTCCTGCTGTTGTGTCACCGCATCAGCTCAGCGAACCGCCCCTGGCTGTCCCCAGGCACGGGCGGTTCGCGGAGAGGCTGCTCCGACACAACGACATGAAGCCACTCGGTGAGGTGAGGAAGGTCCGCATACAAAAACCCATCGATCCACTTTCTCTCCATCGCTCATCCACTCTCACCCTCACACACACGCACACACACACACACACACACGAACATCGACTACACGTCGCCCGTGTCGGGCTCCGGCAACGCTTCCGCCAGCCCATGCACCAACTCGGCAGGCACACACGTGGGGGTGTCGGCCGCTACTACCGGACTCCCACTGCTGTCACACAACGAGCCAGCACTCCGCGCCCGGACACTGCTGGCCAGCTGCAGCAACGGGCCATCCTTCCTCAGGTGCTGCTGGTGGTGCGGCTGGGGGAGGCTGTGGCTGTGGGGGATAGTGTGGTTGAGCTTGGCCTCGGTGGTCTCCTCCTTGCACTGCTTGAGGAAGGGGATCAGCTCGGTGCCGCCGGTGCCCTTGGCCTTGCTCGCCGCGTGGTGCGCCTCGTGGTGGTCTTGGTCGTGGTCGTGCTCGGCCGCAGCCTGCTCGCGCTTCATCTGGATGATGTAGGTGTGCACCAGACCCATGTGTGCCGAGCGGAATGCAGCCAGCTTGTCGAGACACTCGTCGAACCGCCTCGCGAGTGTGTGGTCGCCGCTGCCACTGCCACTGCCACTAGCCCCCACGATGCCCCGCAGCGCCTCGCCCAGCGGCTCCAGTGCCTCGAGAAACATCCGGTGGTCTGCGGGCATGTACTGGCGCATCTTAGCGAGGAAGGGGTCGCGGTGCCTGACCCCCAGGAGCACGTCAAACATCTGCACCAGGCTACTCTGCCCCGCGCTCGCACCGTTGAATTTGAGGGGCTCGGTGGAGACGCCCTCGTACACCAGACCGTCCGGCAGCGCCTCGCTGGACCCAAAACCGGCGAGGAAGGGCCTTTGCTTGAGGTAGAACTCCCGTGGGTCGCACCCCTCGCGCATGCGCCTGATCAAGGCCGTCATCTCGGTGAGGGTGGTTGACACACACGAGAGGTACTCTGCCGTGATGCGCTCGGTGTCTGGTGTGGGTTTGGGGGTTGAGGGAGGGCCGTTTGGGAAGAGCTGGTTAAGGTGTGTGGCGAGGTCGAATGTCTTGTTGACGAGAGGGGTGCCGGCGTGCTCTATGGCGCAGGGCACCAGGTGGAACCACTCCTCGCTGCGGCTGCCCGTGAAGTGCGAGTGACACCTGACAACCAACACACAGACATACATGGATAGATGCCGCTTGTGTGTTTTGTGTGGGGGTGTGGGGGCTGTGGCTACTCACTTGAGGTTCTCTGGCGTGAATGGTTCGTCCTTGTCGATCTTGGCCCAGTTCCACAGGTCCATGTCGACGTGGGTCACGATGGGCGGCAGGCCCAACCGACGGCTCACACATGTCCTGACAAGCGCACACATATACACACACACACACATATACACACACACACACGTGTCTGTGTCTGCAAGCACCTGCCAACCCTTCCTGCATCCATTCCCTCACACTCACACTCACCATGGCACAGCGAGGCTCCTGGGCAGCGCCTTAGCCGGTTCCTTCTCCCCCCCTCCCCACACGTACCCCATGCTCAGCATCCCCAACACCACATGAGCGCGACGCACCTCCGCAATATCATCACTACCCTCAACCCCACCCTCACCACCACCCGTCAGGCTGCTCGTCTCCAGGACGGGCATCTGCTGCACATCACGCCGGTACTCGTCGATGGCTGTCAGGCGCTCGGGCAGGTTGGCAGCAAGGGTTTCCCACGGGTCGAAGTATGGGTCAGAGAGGCGTGGGAGTGGCTCGTCAGGTGGGAGGAAGCCGCCCCACTCGCTCAGGCCGTAGGCAGAACGAGGCAAGGGAAGAAACGACATGGCTAGGAAGGAAGAAGTAAAGCAAGCAAGCCTCACTCAGACAGACAGACAGGCACGTCACGGCACGGCAAGCAGAGAGAGACCGATATCAACAAACAGAACAAGAGCGTACAGTAGTAGGAACCTCCCTCCCTCCTTCACTCGCTTCGTCCCAACAGCAGCGGAGGAGCTGCTCAGATAGAGAGGGGCGGGGAGAGGGAAGAGAGAAGGGAAAAGACAGGCGGGAAGGGAAGGGGACCCCCCGCTCTGGCTGTACACACAAATATATACCCGACACTCACTCACTCACTCAGTTGCTCAGTCAGTCAGTCACCCGTCCCGACAGGCAGTGTATGTCGACACACGGAAAAAGAGCCTAATGAATGACACGTGGCGCCCCTGACACAGTCAGTGATCTCGACGCGCGAACACACTCAGCGAAAAGGGCGCGTCTGTCTGTCTGTTCTGATCTCCCTGTGTGGCGTCTTGCTCGGCACTGTGGCCCGTACCAAGTCAGCCAGTGGTGGCTGTGCTTCTTGGGAATCCCGCTGTGGCTCTCACTTCCCCGGGGAGGCTCCATTCCTCATCGAACACACACGCTGGACGGCGACAGGTCACAAGCCGACGGGACGCCAGTAAACGCCGAGATCTTGACACGGGGGACGCCTGAGGCTCTCCGGAGGGTCCGTGAGGGCGCTCGCTACGGAAAACGTCCCGAGGGAAAAGCTGGTGGATCGCCGATCTACGAGACATGGCAGGAAAACCTCTTTTTGAACCAGAGCCTGTTTGAGGTGCAATAAAGGTCTGTAGACAACACAGGTAGATGCACGGGCACTCATGCGTTGCGATGAGCGATGCATACATAGATGGAACAGAAAAAAGTACAACAACCGGCCCGGGCCTTGGTCACTGAAGCAGTGCACGGACACACACGGGGACACACCCACTCGCAATACGATCAATACCCTCTCTCTTCGGAGCTCTCATGCACACGGACATGTACATGCAGGGTCAAAACTCGCACACACACGAAAACACCCACACCCTTCCCCCACACACACATGGACACTCGCCGATAAATACCCTCTCTCTTTTCGGAACGCACACGCACACGCACATGGAGACAAAACCCACAGAAAAAACGGGACGGAGGACGATCCCCATCCCCCCCGAAAAAAATACGTCTCTGTCTGTCTTTGTGTCTTATAAGTGCTCATATACAGAGAGAGCTACACCCTGGCCTGGAGGCACATTTCAATCACACAAAGAACACCAAGCTCACTGACTCACTCATCCCCCAGTCCTCCCTCCCTCGCGGACACAAACAAACCGCATGGATACGTCTCAAATGAGACAGACACTCTCGCCCAGACGAGGGATCGATCAAAGTTCTTCCTTGAGTTTGGTCTCTGCCTCTGCGGCCGACTTGGTCTTGAGGTCACTCAGCATGAACTTGGAGATCTTGTAGTGCATGCCTTAAGGAAGCAGACAAACACACACACCGCCCACACACACACATTTTGGAGAGAGGCTGCCGGCATATATACCGTGGTTAGTGTCGACGACTTGTGAGATGCCGAGGTCGGCCCCCACACTCAGCGCTATCACCGCCTCAACCTCACTCAAACCATACTTGCCCTATAACACACACACACACACACACACAGAGAGAGAGAGAGAGAGAGAGACAGACAGAGAGTGTGTGTGTGGCTCTGTGTGTGTGTTTCGTGGGCTGAGTGTCGCCCCGCCACCCGCCACTCACCATGAGGAACTTCTTGGCGTTGATGTAAGTGTTCCTCATGGCGCCGCTCCTGCCCTTCACTGCCCTGCCCCCATCCAGCGCACCATCAGACACACCCGCACGGTGGTCCGTCAGCCTGCACCACACACACCAACACACAGACACACACACACAGACAGTGCAGCTATAGCTACAGGGGAATCGTGGGTGTGGCTACTTTGCGAGGGCTCCGACGGGGTCTTTGCCCTGGCCGTGTTGGGCAAAGTATGTGAGGAAGTTGTCGATGGAGAGGCCCGTTATGAGGTAGTACTCCTTGCTCTCAGCCATGGGCGCCTCCAACGTGGCAAAACCGCCGTCGTAACCGCGGCTGCCTGCACACATACACACAGACAGACAAGTGTGCAGTGGTGGGATGGTGTTGTGCATTATGTGTGTAGGTACCTACCTACCTTGTTTGATGAGGTTGAATCGGAGAGTGCCGTCGAGGCTGCACTCCAGCCCGGTGCCGTCCAGCTCGCCCACGCCTTGCACACAGTGACCATCGCCCACAGAGAACAGCGCACCCGGCACCTCCACTCTGTGGATACGCACACACACACACATCCATCCATCCATCCGTCCATAGATCCATGGGTTCCCACCTGAAGAACAGGCTGGTGTCTCGTGTGAAGAGTCGCTCGTCGACGTTGCTGCCCACTTGGCCGATAGGGGGGATGGTGCTGATGCGGTTGTCTCCCTCGGGGTACACAGAAGACGCCACACCCAGACAACCGAAATGCGGGAACAGCGGCACACGCATCTATTAGATGCACAACCACACCACACACGGCAGACACACATAGACCATCCTCACACCCACCCCGCCACGCACCGACGCACCTGTTGGCTGTGTGTTCGGTACTCATAGGGCTTTTCTGTGCGCCATCCCCAGCTGCGGACGTCGCCCGACTCGCCCTCATAGGTGTGGGGGACATTGACGAAGTCGAATCCGGCGATGGTGTCATTTGCTGGGGTGGTGATGGGCTGGTAGGGGTAGAAATGCACCGGCTCGCTCCAGTAGCCCTCCTTACCGTCGGTGTGGATCTGCCTGCATCCATCCATACGTGTGAATGTGCGTGTGTGTGTGTGTGTGTGTGGTTGGCGTGCCGACCATAGGCTGCCGTAGTCTTGTGTGAAAGGTGTGCCGTCCCTCATGGGGAGTCGCCGGTGGTAGCCCATACCCACACTGTCGGACCGGCCGTACATCTCACCCTGGGGGTTCTTCCGCGGCCGCAGGTCCACCAGGTCTACCTGTATGTGAGACACACATGACATGACATGAGTGCATCAATCACCACACGCACGCAAACACACAGCCCCCCTGTATTGACCTACCTGCAGGATGTCCCCAGGGTCTGCGTCGCACACGTAGAAGGGTCCCGTCATGACATGGCCCAGGATCGCCGGATCCTGCCGGCCCTCATGCACCAGAGGGAAGCTGCCGTCACCCTTTCGACCAAAGATGGCCTCCATCGGGCTGTCACCTCTGCACAACTGCGGTGGCCATGTCATCCAGCACACACACCAACACAACACAACACACACGCTTCTGCATCTGTGTGTGGAGGGCCCCTGCAGGCGTGGCTTACATGGTCCCAATCGAGTCCGCTGAGGACGCCGGCCGTCTCGACTCGTAGGACGTCGCCGCTCTTGATGTGCATGATGGGCGGGAGGGCGTCGCTCCAGTACCCCCAGTGCACGTTGGCCAGACTCACGGGCGCCTGCTTGTAGCCCTTCTTCACACTCGGGCAGGCGGTCTCCTCGACGGCCTTCGCCCCACTTGCCGTGGCGATGGGGCGAGAGCCGGCTGAACTCAATGAATGACCAAACAAGACAGCAAAGAACGGTCCTTCGGGTGTGTTTTAAGTATCGTCGCTGTGTTCGTGTTGTGGTCTCACCATATGGCTCCTTGTGTTTGATGTGGTACGGGATGAGTCCCTCATAGGGCGGGAAGATGGCCTTGGGGACGGTGGCATATGCGCCCCAATTGCCGTGTGTGGCCTGGGTGACGCCGAACCCGATGGCCAGGCTGATGATGTCGGGCACCTCGGGCTCCGTCACCCCATACCTAAACACATGGATGGATGGATGGACGGACGGACGGATGGACACATACGTCGGTTGTGTGGTGATGTGTGTGCTGCCTGGCTTGCCTGTCCATGAGGAAGTCTCGCGTCGTCATGACGATGTTGGCCATGGCGTCGTCGAAGTTGGACACCCTGCACGGACATCATCCCCACCACACACATGGAATGGAGGCGCTCTTTTTTGCCCTTTGTGTAGACTTCTCACTTGTTGATGTCAGCGGCTGCCATGGGGTCCTTCCGCGTGAATGCGTGCAGCACGTAGTCACTCGAGGTCTCTCCCAGCGGGTAGGACAGGCCCGACAGCCACACAGGCAGATCCTCTGAACAATCAAGGGCGCGGCGCACACAGGTCACACGACAGACACCCCCCACATGTGTCGCTGGTCCACCGCCGACTCACTTTTTTTGAGCAGCGATACCCGCAGCTTGGCGCGGAGATTCGTCTCAAGACCTGCAGTACGTGTGGGTCAACACATCTCTGTCTGGCTTGTCTGTCTGACCGAGCTACCTACCGGTGCCGCCGAGCTGTCCGTCGCCCTGCACGGCGTGCGGCGCGCCGAGCGAGAGCAAGCCGCCCTTGACCTCCACCTGGTAATACATCGTCATGCCCACACCCAACCGACGCTGTCCCAAATGACCACCACTGTCAGAGAGAGAAAGAGAGAGAAGATTGGTGTGTGTCTGAGGGTGCACGTGTGTGTCTCTGTGCAGTGTACCCAGGTCTGGGTATGTCTGCAGTGATCTTGCCCCTGCGGGCTGACGCCACCCCCATGTTGCCTGTACGTCGTCAAGGAAGGAAGGAGGAACGATATGATATGGGCGGGGTGGGTGCGTCCGTGCGTGTTGTGTGTGCTTCCCTTCCTGTGTGTGTGTGTCTGTGCATGGCTGACCGACCAATATGTGGGCTGAGTTTGACTTTGAGAGGCCGCAGGCTCACTGTGTAGTGAAGGTGGTCTCGAGAAGTGTACCCGAGAGAATCAGGCTGTGTCTCAATCAAGACGCACAGAACCACTTCAGTCAGCATGGATACACACCTGGTGTGGGTGCATCTCATTCATGTGTATACCGTGTGTTTGAAGCCCTTGTATGTGTGTGGGATGCACGTGCCGGGGTATGACGCCTCCTTGCCGTCGGGCCCCTCCAAGGTCGGCAGGTTCATGTAGTACGCCAGGTTGGCGGACCACTCACCCCACCTCTCGTGCAAATCCCTGACCACAAGCACAGCACAGACACACATGGTGCCCACACATCCACCATCGAGTGCTCTGCTGTGGCTCCCTCCGCTCACCAGACGGCGAGGTGTTCCTTCTTGTCAGCGGCAGGCGCGTCACTGCTGATTTCGCTGACGTACTGATGGTAGCCGTCGGCACTGAGCCGCTGCACGCCATAGCCCTTCCGGCCTTTCACACGAGGGGCCAGCGATAGCACCTCAACCTGACAGACACAACACACAACACAGACAGCATGAAGCACCCACCATCCACTTATGTGTGTGAATGGGCGTGGGCGTGTGGAGCGGCTGGCTTGCGTGTGCACCCACCTTGATGATATCCCCTGGTTGGCTGCCGCATATCTCGATGGGGCCGGACATGATGTCGTGGCCCACACGCATCGAGGGCGGCACGCCGCTCGTGACGTTGAAGATGCCCTGCAGAGCCGCATCATCGCCTGACGTCATTCATGTACAGTCACAGTCACAGACACAGACAGATAAAGACGGATTGCACGTCTATCTGTCTATCTGTGTGTGTGTGATTGCCGACCGATGAGTTTATCATAGTCGTCGCATGCGTGAGGGGCCACTAGGTCGACGGACACTTCGTCGCCAGACAACACACGCAGACTCGGTGTCATCGACTGCACACACACACACACACACAGACAGTCAGACAGACAGACAGACAAGATGGACACCCGTGCATGAAATGTATATGTGTGCGGCACAGGTGACTCACCTTGTCATAGTAGCCAAAGTGCACGGTGTCCTTGCCCAGCGGCAGCTCCTTGGGCCCTCCCTGCGTGGCATCACACAGCGCGTCCGACCCGCCGGCCGCATCGCACTTGCCGTCTGCGCCGCTGCACTCATCGTCGCAGCGGACAAGCTGGATCAGACACAGCACGCCGATGCTCAGCAGCAGCAGGAGGACCCGCATTGTGCTGATGCGCATGCGCCTCGAGCTGAGTGAGCTTCCAGGCTCACTCCTTCGGCTCAGCCTGAGGCCTGGTCTCCGTCGGACGGCGGTTTGGAGGCAGATCTGCACCCTTCTGCTTCGCTTCGCGCTGCCGATAAGATGCGCGCTCAGAATTGCGGACCTCACCGGCGCGCTTCGAGAGGCTGCAGGGCATTTGTGAAGGCCGCAGAGGCGAGAGCAAGTCATCACCAGACGATGGGCTCGGCCTCTTTGATCTTGGCGCTGCTCGCCGCATCTCTCCTGCTCCTGCTCCCTGATCTGCCGAGGCCATGCAGCGCTCTCTCACCATCGCGCCACTCCTCATCTGCCCCTCCGCACGGCCGCTTGTCCAGCCCGCCCAAGCATGCAGCCGCAGGCAGCAGCTTCATCCCTCCGCTGCCCCGCCAGCCATCGTCTGGTGTTTCTGACGAGAATGCCTTCCCCACCAGACAGAGAGGAGATGGGGATGAGGTGGCGGTGCGCATCGAGTCCTCGTCTGTCCTCTCGGCAGCCAATCCTAAAGTCCGCGATTGGGCGGCGGGGTACACCGGCCTCGGTGAGGGAGTGAGGCACGAGTTAATCTGTTCGTTCCATTGTGCTCTCTGCGTGTGTGTGCTGCCATCCCATCCATCAATGCATTGTGCATGGCATGCAGCCGATCGTTGGCAGAAGGAGATAGGTGAGGGCGTGTGGTGGGGGAGGCCGTCGGTGTTCGCCCACGACGGCACCTACCTGGGCAAGTGCACGGCCAGGCGGGACGTGCAGATCGGCATGGGCGACCGAGCCAACGTCAAGACACTCTACCTCGTACCTAACAGGGGCAAACTGCAGGAATTCGAGGTCAGCCCAGCCTCTCTCTGTGCGGGTGTGGGTGTGGGTGTGGGTACGGTACGGTGTGGATGGATGAAGTGCCTCCTTGTGTTGTGTCGTGTTGTGTGTGGTGTGTGCAGGTGTTGCAGCTGATGACGGAGAACATCGGCGATGACCGCATCTATCAGGGCAAGGACGTGTACGGCTTCGGCTCGCCCTTCGGCAACATCTGCTTCGGACACACCTACAACCAGGCAAGGCTTAAGGCAACACAACCTAGCTAGCTGAAGCCTCACCATCCCATCCCACCCACACTCATGTGTTGACGCATTTGCCTATCTGTGTGTCTGTGCGTGTGTGTGTGTGTGTTCAGAACTGGCGCGGCAATCTTCGGTTCTGGACTCAGATATTCCCCGACAACGTGACGCAGACCTACAGCAACCTACAGTTCGAAGGACCCACTCTCAAATACGCCATCACGGTAGGTACACACGACCACACCACACATCACACTCCCTCTCTCCCTCTCTCCCTCACTCACCACCACCACCCATGTATTGTATTTCAGGGTATGTATTTCCGTGCCGACGACTACTACTCGGACACGACCAACAAGACTCGGGATCGCATCGAGGCGCTGCTCGAGGAGCAGGAGGTCGAGGGCCGCGAGCCGTTCCTCTACGACCCGTGCGAGCAGACCTGGGAGGGCGAAATGGAGATCTGGGGCTCCGACCAGACACTATACGGCACCTCCAAGATGACCCTCGACTTGCGGCCGACGACCGACTTCTACCACTTCATGGAGAAGGTGCGGCTGGAGCCGGTGGAGGGCTACCCTGGGACAATGGACTTCCTGACGAGTGGGAACCCGCGGAACGGACTGGAGATGGAAAACAACTACCACAGATACCTCCTCGAACACTACTGGTCAGAGGCGACGGAGGGATAAGGAGGGGGTCGGGGTCTCCATTCATGTATGTGCTCCCGTCCTCGTGTTTATCTGTAATATGTTACAGGCACGGCCCGCACATCTGGGGCAGCGGTACACACACACACACACACACACAAGCAGACAGACAGCTGACAAAATGACGCTGCAGCATTGGTCGCATGTATGTGTGTCTCTCTTGCTCTCTGTCGTCGGTGCGTGCAATGCAATCCAGGCCAGGGGTTCGGCCGCGCCATGTACTTCGAACAGAATGGTAGGTCAACCCAACACCACCCACCCACGGCCAGCTAGAGAGATACACCGGCTGAATGGCATATGTGCGTGTGAGCGTGTGTGCAGTTGTGAATGAGCCGATTCTGATCACTGGGCGCAACAACCTGGCCCTCGACAAGTACATGTCCATCGCATGGGTGAGTGAGTGAGTGGGTTGGCGTCTGCACACACAGATGCACACAAGAGAGGCTGCCGCATACAGTACACATGTGCTGTATGTGTGTGCTCGGCCGGCCACAGGAGGTGTTCGTAAAGGGCGTTCGCAAGTATGCGATTATCGGTGTGTTGGAGCGCACCACAGAGAAGCTCAAGGGCGTCACGTGGAAGGCCCTCACGTGAAGCAATGTGTGCATAAGAATGTATCGCAGCTCGACAGACAGACAGACAGACGGATGAGAGCGCTGGGAGTGTCGGTCGGTGTTGGTGTAGGCTTTGTGAAGAGAGGGGAGTGAGGGGGCATCCTTGTAACTGGATTTTTCCGTAACTCGTATGTATCTGTAGAATGAGAGCGTAGAGAGGTAGGTGTACGTCGTAGGTACGCGCAAGCGGGGCGTACACACACCCGACGGCTGCCGTGCCTACGGGTGGCACGTCTGTAAATATATAGTAGTATGTGTGTCTGTGTCTGTCTGGTGATCTGATCCAGTGCCGTCGTTCGGTGCCATTCTCATTGATCCCAGGGTGGCAAACGGATCTTGATGGTTCCAGATCTGGTGGCCATCAAGACACGTTCGTCACGTATGAATCATGAGGATGGCGTCGAGGGAAAGTGTGAGACATCTGAGTGTGTTTATTGACGTTGGGTGAGTGAGCGAGTGCGTGTGACTCGTGTGTACTTGTGCATCACACACACATGCAACCATCGCGCAATCATCGTCAGTCAATCGCATACACGCATACACACATACACGGCCAGAGCCAGCAACGACCGTCTGGTCTCACCCACTCCGCACAAACGAATGCTACCCCTCACTCAGGAGCAAACCAACAAGGCAAGGCAAGGCCCCCACCCAATCTAGTTCTCCCATCCATTCATGCACTCATGCATGACTACAGCCATCCATCGATCCCTCCCTCACCAGTCGTCATCGGTCCCTGCCTTTCCCCTCCCCCCACTAGCCCCACTACCTCCCCTCCCTGACCCCCTGCTATGCATCGCACCCCGCCCTTGCCCTTCTCCAACAATGCCCCGGCCCCGACCACTACCTCGACCAACAATCTGACCCCTCTCCTCTGCATGGACCGGCCCCCGCTCGTCGCCCCTCATCTGTCGCTCCTCCGTCCGTGGCAGCTTCTGCCATTCCTGATGCTGCTGCTGGTCCGTGCGATGCCGGCCGCCTCTTCCTCGCATATCGCCGCCTCTTTTGTGGAAGCCGCCCCGGCCGCCTCGATGAGGTGGTGGAATGGCACCCTGCTCATGGCGAGCTTGGCGAGCTTCTCCGACATCCTGGGGGGAGAGATGGTCCCGACTACCGCCACCATGAGCTGCAGCAGGTGGTGGCGGCGGCGGGGGCTGCTGCTGCTGATGGTGATGCGATCCGCCCTCATGGTTGGGCGCATCGCCATGCTGCTGCTGGTGCTCCTGCTGCTTCAGACGGTCGCTGCGAAGCTGCTCTCGCTGGGCAGATGGAGAATCCTCGGCGATGGGGACCCTCGGGCTGGCGTGGGTATCTGCCTCCACTTGGCGCCTCTCTGCTTTGGCCATGGGCATCTGTTCCGTGGGTGGCGGCGGCGGTGGCTTCGACGGGGGTGGCGGGGGCGGGGGAGCAGGTGCCGCGCTGGAGGGCGAGAAGGGCGGAACGGCTGTCTCGTCGAGTCCCACTGTCGGGATGTTCCGAACGCCCAGACAGCTAACCTTGGCCAGCCGGCGGGCCGTGGCGGTCTCCTCCTTGGCCTTGCGCTCATCCTCCTGCACCTGCATACACAATGAGAGAAAAGACACACATGCCGATCAACTGGCCCCCCTTGCCAGGCGGCTGACTCGACTGACTGACCTCCTTGTATCGCTCCTCCCACTGCCGATTCTTCTTGCGCATCTCGGCTAACAGGCGATCAGCCTCGATCTTCTTCCGCTCCTTGCTACTCTCCCTATCCCTCTCCCTCTCCCTCTCGCGGCTCCAGTCGCTCCCAACAGACCCATCCCACTCAGGCAACCCACCACCCGCAGCAGCGTGCGCCTGATCCCCTCGCCCCATTGGCAACCCCCTCCCTCGACCGCCAGTACGCACATTGGGGGGATATCTCTGCGGTGGATGGCCATCGTACACCAATGGAGGGCTGGTATTGCCCCAATCTGCCCCACGTGGTGGTGGTGGAGGAGGTGGCTGTGGCTGTGGCTGATCCGGTGGCCCCCGGTGTCTGCTCATTGACGGCGGCTGCGGGTCCGGCAGAGGGAGGAGGCCCTTGGTCGGGTCGAACGTCGCTGGGGCGTCTGCCGTCGGTGCCGCGTCGCGCTGGCCCAGTGGCACAGTGGGTCTGTCCCTCGGCTCGTTGCGCGACGGCGCTTGTGGTGGGTCGTTTCGGAATCTGGGCCGTCTGTCATCCCCTCTGGGTGTCTCGAGGATGCCCTCGCCCTGATGCCTGCCGCTCAGACGGGCTCCCTTGGTGGTCTTGGAGGGGGGTCCGCTGTCATTGGAGCGGGGGAAGCTTCCACTGGCCACCGCTGGCTGGGGCTGGGACTGGTGGTGAGAATGAGGATGTGCCTGAGGTGGAGGGATGGGAGGAGCCACGTGACGGATGTCGGACCCCGTGTCGGTGCTGCTCCGTGTACGCGTGCGGGACGACACTGCCGGGTCAACCACCGGATTATTGACTACGGCCGCCGGCTGCTGCTGTTGGGTGTGGGGGGTGCCTTGGGGTGGGCCTGTGACGCCGTTGGGCTGGCTTTGCGTCGCCGCCTCGGCCGTCGTGGTGGCTGCTGCTGCTGCTGCTGGGCCCTTGGGTGGGCTTCGCTGGGAGCTGATGCTGCTATGTTTGCTGGGTGTGGCAAAGGGGTCGTTGGACACACGGCTGGCGTCACTCGGCGTGGCACACGCGCGCGGGAGGGCTCTGACGGGTGGCGCGGCAGGGCTACTGGAACGGGGTGGTGGTGGTGGTGCCGAAGGCCCATCTGGGACCGACGGGCTGCTGGGGATGGTTGGATGGACCTGCTGCAGTCGACGACGCACCTGGTGGAAACAAACACGAAACAGACAGAAGCACACAGAAGGACGAGACGAATGGGCATGATGCGATGCATGAAGGGCCGGCCCTTGTTGGCTGGCTCTTCCGTCACTGACCTCGGCCTTGACAGCGTCATCGTCGTCGCCGCTGCCCGACGAGCGGCTGCCCTCTCCCTCTCCCTCTCCCTCGCCGTCGCCGTCGCCGGCTTCCTCGCCGTTGGTGTATGCCGGTGGCCGTGGGCCCAGTGTGCTCGGGGGCGGAGGACCCCCCTTGCCGGAGCCAATGGCCACGCCCGCCTGGTAGGCGATGTTCATGTAGTAGATGAGGGGGTTGACGCCCATCCCCACCATCTGTGGATGCAGCACACTCAACGGCAGGGCCGCCACGGCCGGCTGCCCGTCGGCACCTGCGGTGGCTGGGACGGCCACTGGCGGTATCGCTGCGAGTTGCGACAGGCAAGGGATGACGGAGGGGGCAGCAGCAGTGGCAGCAGCAGCTGCCGGTGTCGCCACCGGTTGAGAGGGGATGTCCGGCCGGAAGGGCGGGAGTTGCGGTTCGGGTGGGTAGGCTTGCTCGGTGACGGACGGCTGCTGTGGGTATGATGGGGTGGCGTGGGGGTATGCCGGGGAGTGGTTGCGGGTGCTATAGCTGTAGCCGTCGACGTCAGCTGAGCTGCTCGCCGGCATCTGACCAACAGACACGCCACCTGAATGAATCAAACACAGAGGGTCAGACACATCACATCACATCAACACATAGACAGATAGAGACAGCGACGAGGCGGGCGGCTTCCCGTTTTGTTTACCAGTGCCGGTGGTGTGTTGTTGTTCTCCCTTCTGGCGATACGGCGCCGCTGAAATGTACCCAATCAAGGAGATGTCACTATCCCGCTGCTCCTCTACTTGTTTGACCTCCCTCCCCGCCCCTCCCCCCACCCCAGCGCCCGCCCCGGCCGTCACCCCTGGCTGCCGATCACCATCCATCTCCCCGTGTGTGGCTGACACCCCACCCGCAGCAGGCACCGGCACCAGACGGCCGTCCCCCGTGTGATACATGACCTTCCCGTACCCATCGCCCATCTGACTCACGTGGTGGCCCTCATGCGCCTGTGGGGAGGCCGGCACACCACCATCTGCTGCTCTCGTCTGATGCGCGTATTGGTGAACGTATTGCGGCGCCACGGACGATCCCTGGCTGTGGCCATACTCATAGGCGGATGACGTCGGCTGAGGATGCACGTGTGCCGGTGGCGCAGGGGAGCTCGGCTGCTGGTAGGCCCCTACTGTAGCCGCCGCCGCTGGTGAATAGCCCTGATACTGATATTGCTGGTGCTGGTGCTGTTGCTGCTGCTGCGGCACGGGTGAGGATGGCTCGGTTGCCTTGGGATCGTGCTGCCATCGGTGGTGCTGGTCGTCCACAGGCGGGGGCGGGGGATAGGTCACAGGGTGCTGCTGTGGGTGTCTGGGCTGGGCGGGAGGGGAGTAGACATCGTACTGGGGCTGCTGCTGGTGCTGGTGCTGCTGCGTGCCGGGGTGTCGTCCATACGAGGCCGCTTGAGTGTGGTCTTGGGAAGGGTAGTGAGGCGATTGATGGCCCTGAGCGATGCCGCCATACACCGTCGTCGACTCACGCTGCTGCTGGTGGTGCTGTTGGTAGCCGGCGTCCTGGTTGGTGCTGCCGGCCAGGGGAGAGCGGTCGCCTCGGTTGACGAGAGAGTCATATATCTGTGTGATGAGCACATGGCCCTGCGGCGCCACCTGAGGGTACGTCTGCTGCTGCTGCTGATACTGCTGCTGGTGCTGGTGGGGAGCGTAGGGGTAGGACTGCGTCGGCGACGAGTAGCTCCCATTGGCGGCCGCGTACTCACCATCCATCTGTTGCGAGAACTGACCTGGGCTGCCCTGGGCCTGGGTGACCGCAGGTCTTCTCATGTCAGGAGAGTGGGCGTCATCGATGCGATAAGCCGGCTGCGTGACACTCGTCGGCATCGGACTCCCCGGCTGATGGTCCATTGGCACCTGGTTGCCGCTGTATGCGGCAGCGGCGTTCTCATGGTGCGTCTGGGTGGCGGGAGGGTGCTGATAGCCGTGTTGATGGCCGCTACGGTTGAACGAGGCCTCCATCTGCGCGTGGATGTACTCCGATGGCTGCATCCAGCCCTGGAGCTCTCCGATCAGACTACGAAGCTGCCAGAGAGGGCACAGACAAGGGTGAGGATGGACCCCATCATCCATCGAGTTCACAGGAATAGAGGAGGGTTCTCTGGCTCATGTGTGTGGCGTCATGGTGGACCTACCTGGTCATCTGGGCGATATTTCCATAATGTGTGACCGACGAAGGCCTGAATGGCGTGATGCCGCCCAAACAAGGGTCATCGACAAGGACGTTTACAAACGCGCGGGAGGCGCAAGAGTTGTATTGTCCATACTTACGAGAAGCGGGCAATGGATGCATTTCAGTAATCTGTCAACACATGAATGAATGCACAACTCAACCGACCTGGAGTACGCGCACACACACACACTCGCGTCACACACGAGGGGTAAGGCAGGCCGACAGCACACATCAGTCACCAAAACCTCCCCCCGACAAACAAGCCAGCCAGCAACCAAGGAAGCAGAAGCAAGTCGAGTCAACCTGAATGAATTGGCAAGTAGTGAGTGAGTCAATAATGGTGCATGGGTGAACGAATGGCGTGGTGCGCTGTGGCATCTCTGTCCAGAGAAGAGAGGGAGAGGAACAGGGGTGCATCGCAATGTATGTGTGTATGTGGGTGCACTGGAGCACGCACGCGTACCATCACCGCCACGCCTTTAATACAAACAAGCAGTGCGCAGGGCAGCAAGGACGCACACACCACCGGAGGCAAGGAGGGAGGGAGGGAGGAAGGAGAGAGAAAGGTAAAGCCACCACGTCATACGCCGTTCCATGTCCATTGATAATTCATTCGGTGACTATGGACAGGGCCACACAACGCCCATGCGTTCAGCCACCCACCCAGCCAGTGTGTGCGGGCCGACAGCCCGAAACCAACCCACCCCACACCCATACGAAAAATGACCCATCCACTCATCCATCGAGCAAAAAGTCAGTGAGTGAATCGACCCCACCCTACCCGACCCATCTGCCCGCCCCGCGCCCTCCCGCCTGCCAGTCAGTTCCCGCCCATGTGTAGATATACATTCACTGCTTCTCGCTGGCCAGCCAATCACGCGCTCAGACCGGAGGGTCACTGTCAGTCAGTCACGAGATCAAGACAGTGAGACAGACCGGCCACCGAGGGTTGGATGGATGGATGGATGGATGGGTGGGTGACTGACGAACGTGTGTGTGTGTGAGTGAGAGCTCCCTGCCTCCCTCCCTCCGGTATGGTCCATATCTATCTGCACAAGACGGCTGTACGGTTTACCTACTTATTCTCACTTACTCACCAACACAGACAGCACCAATGGATTCATTTACCAATCGCCGCCACCACCACCACCACCTGGCCGATAGATAGATAACCGGCAAAAAAGCTCATTTCATTGGTTGGGCGACGGTGAAAAGGAGACGAACAAAAGAAAAACACGACCAGAAACCAACCCGCCTCTGCTCGGCTCTCATGGACTGGACTGACACGCCTGTCTCTCTCTCTCTCTCTCTCTCTCAGCATGAACTCACTGTGTCCGTCCGAGCATACAGCACAGCAGACACACGGCCCTACCTACTTACATCCACCCATCGGACGGTCGGACGGTGCACATTCATCCACACAGACATGCATTCATCCACCCAGCAGCCACTGCCTCATCCCCCGTTGCTGGAGGGCAGCAGTGTGGACTGCACTTGTCGCTTCTCGGCCTCCTCCGCTGCGGCCCGCAGCTCATCCTGCGGCACCTGGGCCTCCGTGCCCTGCACACAGACAGACAGACACGCACCAAGAACGTCATCCGTGTTCCTGTGGGTCAGTGTTGTCTGCCCCTCCCCTTCCCTTCCCCCTGTCCTGTCACCCACCTGCAGCGACATGGCCCTCCTGCTGGCGCGGCCCGAGTGCGGCCCGCCCGATGTCGACGGCGATGAGCCGCCACCTGATGTGGTTGTGCCCCCTGACGCCGCCTGGGTAGTGGCGCCCAGGAAGTTGGGGGACTTGGGCGTCCTGTTGTCCTTGTCCTTCCAGCTTGGACGTGTGTAGGCGGCATGCAGGCCGGTGGGCGTGCCCTCGGGCTTCATCCCGTTGTCGCTTTCGCGCGGCTGCTGCTCGGATGCCGCCTCCGCCTCCCCATTGATGTCTCCCTCGGCAATCTGCTCCAGTGCCAGCGCCCGCAGCTCGTCGAGCTCCTTCTTGATCTGGTCGTTCTCCCCCTGGAACCGCGATGGCGTGGTGGAGAGGCGCTTGTCGGGCCTCGAGTACTCGGGCAGCAGCTTTCCCGACGCCGCGCCATAGACGTTGGCGGAGATCTTCTTGCCGCCCACCCTGCCCTTGGCCCAATCAGCCTCGAGCTTCTTGAGGGCGTTGTTTCTTCGGTCCTCGACGCTCTTTGGCACCTCTGTCTTCTTGATGGTGACCTTGCGGTGCGCACTCCTGACGACCTCCATGGGGATCGTCTTGGGGCTGGCCGGCACCTCCTCGAGCGTCATGACCCACGGGTGCTTGAGGGCCGTGGCAGCGTCCATCCGCCGGTCGGGCGACCGCTCGAGCAGCCGCTTCATGAAGTCGACGGCTGTGGGGGAGTGGGCGACGGTGTCGAGGGACCAGTCGACCTTCTTGTTCATGATCTCCTTGACGATGGCGTGGGTGCCCAGGCCGTCGAATGGATACCGCCCGTACAGCATCAGATAGATCAGCACGCCCAACGCCCACATGTCCGCCTGCACCCACAACCACACCCACAACACAAACAAAGAGATACGGTACGATGTGTGACACACAACACAACACAACCACACTGGCTCGCATCACTCGCCCACCCACCCACAAGCCACTACACTGGCCTGGAAGTTGTATTGTCTGCGTATGAGTTCTGGCGCGAGGTAGTGCGGCGATCCGCAGACCTCGTTGAGGTACTGGCCCTGCTCGAGCCTGGCGGACATGCCGAAGTCGATCATCTTGAGTGGCGAGGTCTCTGTCCTGTCGAGGAAGAGGAAGTTCTCTGCCTTGATGTCGCGGTGGACGATGCCCAGGCTGTGGATGTAGTGCAGGGCGCTCAGCATCTGCCGGCACAGGACGCTGGCGTCCCGCTCCGTGAACTTCTTGCGCTTGATGACCTGCTCGAACAACTCGCCGCCGTCACACTTCTCCATCACGGCATACAGAAACACCTGACGGAGAGAGAACAACAACGGGTGAGTGCAGGAGGCCGGCCATGTGTGTGCGTGTCTGTCTATCTGTCTGCTTCACCTTATCTTCGTAGAAGTCGAAGAACTTGATGATGTTCTCGTGGTCGATCTTCTGTAGCAGTGCAATCTCCCTCTTGAACATGCTCTCGTTGGACCAGGGCCCCTTGTCGCCGGCCTTCTTCTCCATGAGCTTGACAGCCCGCAGCTCCTTGGTGTCCTTGAGCATGCACTCCCGCACCTGCCCGAAGGCGCCGCTCCCCAGCACCTTGCCTATCTTGTACCGGTCGCGGATGTCCTCATCCGGGGGCTGCAGCTTACCGCACGAACAACCCATCTCGGTGAGTGCCCAACACACTCTTTGCTGGTCAGTCACGACGGGTGGCCAAGAGGGCACGAGCTGGCAATGACACCGGCGCAGAGGACAGAAGAGAAGAGACGCCTTGTGAAGCAAGCAGCGGGAGGGAGGGTGTGGTCAGTCAACTCAACGCAACAGACGACAAAAACCCAGACAGTCTTTTCAAAAGGATGGAACCGACCGAACTGACAGTCCTCCCTGTGAGCTGGCTTCCACCCTGGTCTTCTTCGCCTTTTCCCTTTCTCCAGGAAGCTCGCAATTGACGATCTGAGCTCGCACGGACTGGAGATTTCGCCATCGTTGTGGCTATCTTGGCTCTCCCTGTCCTGCATTCGCATCGAGTGGGTGATTCAAGAAGATGGTGAAGTCGAAGAGCAAAGGCAAAAGCGGCAAGGCCGCCAACAAGCAGCGGAGGCCCAAGTCGACGAATGCGCAGCCCAAACAGGCCTTCCACACCGGCACAGCATCCACAAACCCCGACCGCTCGCTGCCCAATGACAAGAAGGCGGGCTTCTACCGCAGCAAGGCCACCATCAGGCGGCTCAACATGTACACCAGCAAGCCTGACCTCGCCAAGCGCCGCGAGCAGCCCACCAAGCCGGTGCGCATCCAGCCTGACCGGCGGTGGTTCGGCAACACGCGAGTGACGACGCAGAGCAAGCTGGAGCAGTTCCGTGAGGCCATGACGACGTCACTCAAGGATCCCTACAGTGTGCTGCTCAAGCGGCCCAAGATCGGTCTGCCCTCCGAGTGGCTCACCAACGACGGCGGGGCCAATGACGGGGATGGTGCTGTGGATGTGGGAAAGGTCAAGCTGCTCACGGTGGAGCCGTTCGAGCAGACATTTGGCCGCCGTCAGCTGCGGAAGAGGCCCAAGCTCGTGTCGGGTGACCTGGAGGGTCTCGTGGCACACGTGAGTGGGGTTGGCAGCAGGCATTTGTACCATGTGTGGTCACTGGCTGTGTGTGATATGCATGCTCAGGCTGAGTCCAAGGTCAGCGACTACAGTGAGGAGCGTGACGGCGCTATTAGCCGCGAGGACGATGGCGTGCGCCAAGCGACGTCGGAGAAGGTCTTCGACAAAGGCACTTCCAGGAGAATATGGCAGGTGAGTGTGCGGACACACGCACAGCCAGCCAGCCAGCCAGCCGCCTGCATCATCCATCTGCTGTGTGTGCAGGAGCTGTACAAGGTTGTCGATTCGTCTGACGTGATCATCCAAGTGCTCGACGCGCGAGACCCTCAGGGCACTCGGTGAGTGAATCAGTGGGCAAACCAACATCCATTAATCACGCACAGATCGATGGATGGGTGGATGGATTAGGTGCCGCTCGTTGGAGGATCACTTGCGCAAGGAGAGGTCGCACAAGCACCTGGTGCTGCTGCTCAACAAGTGCGACCTCATCCCCACGTGGGCGACGGCCAAGTGGGTCAAGGTGCTGGCCAGGGAGTACCCCACTCTAGCCTTCCACGCCTCCATCACCAACCCATTCGGCAAACACGCTCTCATCAACTTACTCAGGTATGTAGGTACTCACAGACAGACAGGCGGATGGATCGGTTAAACGCCTGCCTTGGTTGCTCTGTGTGTGGTTAATGTCACACAGGCAGTTCGCTGGGCTGCATCCCGACCGTAGGCACCTGTCCGTGGGCTTCATCGGCTACCCCAATGTGGGCAAGTCGTCAGTCATCAACACGCTCAAGCGCAAGAAGGTCTGCAAAGCCGCACCGGTCCCTGGTACGCGCCCACATGGACACTCACGGGCCACACACACACACACACACACAATGCATCTGTATGATTTGTTTGTCTGTGTAGGTGAGACCAAGATATGGCAGTATGTGAGTCTGACAAACCGCATTTACCTCATCGACTGCCCCGGTGTGGTGCCCGGCGACTCCTACCGCACCGACGGCACACAAGACACACTCACCGTCGAGGCAGACAAGGTGAACTAGAAGCAAGCAACGGCACGGCAGACGAATGACGGCCAAATTGTTCCACTATCTTGTGTGTGTCGGCCGCCCGGCATGTGTGTGCAGGTGTTGAAGGGCATCGTGAGGGCTGAGAAGCTCAGCGCGCCAGCCGAGTACGTCAACGAAGTCCTCTCACGGGTCAAAAAGTAAGCCAAAGATGAGATGGCACTGCACTGCACTGCAGCGCCCGCACCACCCTCATGTGTTTGTGTTTGTGTGTGTGATGTGTGATGTGTGATGTGTGTGTCAGGGAGTACCTATTGAAGAAGTACAATCTCCCGGCCGACACGACGTGGACCGACGACGAGGACTTCCTCACCATACTCGCCAAAAAGTGCGGCCGGCTCCTCAAGGGCGGGGATCCCGACATCCAGACGGCCGCCCGCACCGTCATCTATGACTTCCAACGAGGCAGGATTCCCTACTTCGTCCCTCCACCCATGCTCAACGACCCCTCACACAAACACCAAACTGCAACAGCTGCCTCGGGAGCCACAAGCGATTCGACAGTGGCAGTGGTGGCTGCTGAGCCGTCGGCTGTGACGGAGTCGAGCCAAGAAGGAGACGAGGGAGACAAGGAGACACCGCCAGTAAAGGTAAGGTGGCCAGGGCGGCAGCAACGTGCTCTTCTTTCTCGCACTCTGTGTCTGTGTGTGTGTGTGTGTCATCTCGCTTCAGGTCAAGCAGTCGTTCAAGGCGCTCAAGTGCTCCATGGACTTTGACAGCAGCGACCTGGGCACCAGGGGCGGCGCACCAGACGAGCAGCAAGAGGATGATGCTGATGGTGCACTCGATGCAGACGACCAAGACCAAGATGACGGCAGCGACGCAGACGACGCTCGCGCCGAGTCCAAGCGACAGCGGCTACTCGCTGCGCTCAAGAGGAAGCGACAGCTGAGCAGCCCACCGCCACGCAAGCGAGCCAAAGAGGGTGGAGCGACTATGGACAAGGGCAAGGGAGGGCGTGTTGATCAACCTGGGTCATCGGGGGCGCCGTCTGTGCCGATAGCCGGTCCATTGTCGCGTGTCAAGGCACCCAAGGGCGAGGATGTGGATTGGGGGATGCTCTACAAAGAGTTCGAGTCATGAGTGTCTTGGTTGGTTGTGATGCGGTGTTGTGGTGTCTGGACGGTGTGTCAACGATAATGAGTGCGGATGTCATTGACTGTTGACTGTAAAGCCTCGTGATTACATCTGCTTTCACGGTGTGCCCATCCTCAGTACGTCTGCGAGCGAGTGTTGGCAGAGGGTTGGACCCACAGCACAGATCTGCTTGGCTCGGAAAACCCATTGCCCGTGCGGGCAGTGCAGTCGGGGTGTCTGGCGAGTGTCGATTTCGCCATCTTGAGCTCAGTCCCGCCTACATCGAGGCGCACCGGAGTCGTCATCTCGCTGACGCCGCAGCAGAAAGGGAGATCTGCAATGGCAAGCAACACCGAATGGGGGCACTGCCGGTGTTTCGGGGCCAGTCTCATTTTTGGCCACACGTGGCATCGCTGAAGGCATCGCGGCCAGAAGAGCCCGATGTACTCAAATCGCTCTCGGGTGGCGGGTGGAGTCCCACAGGCCTCCATTCCGGGGCAGCAAGGCGACATATGCAACCTGAGACGGTCAGCGACGCCCGTCGAGGGACGAAACACCCTCAGCACTCCATCCCAATGGATGCCGCCCTCCGCTGTCGGTCTGTCCAACATGAAAACACGCAACAGTCCCCCTCGGACTCGAGGCGTGGGCCAGTTTGTCAAGGTTGGCTGGTTGGTGAAGCAGAGCGCCTTTCTCAATCGATGGTGAGCCTCAGATACGACCCACAGGGCTCGATCGGCACGGTGAGCATGCTGATTTGTTTGTACATGTGTACAGGAATGAGCGGTTCATGGTGCTCAACCACGACACCATCAAGTCTTACCATCAGCCGCCGCCTGAATTTGCAGTGCGTGAGGCCCTCTCGTCCCGCCCAGAGCAATCCCATCAGCGGTTCTCGCGGGGCCACAACGACGCCCGCAAACTCATCGAGAGCCGCAGACGTGCCCGCGATGAGAGTCCTGTGGGTCGGCAGCCGACGGGCGGCCTCGTGGGGACCCCTGTGCGTCAGGCCTCCCACCATGGGCGGAGCCAGTCGCCGGTGAATAATCCGCTTGCGTTTCTGGCCAGTCTTTGGAACTCGCCGAGTCCATCGCCGTTGCGTGAGAGGGTGGGGGAGGGCGGGGTAGCAGGGGACGATGTCGTCCCGTCTGAGGACCTGGGACTCAACGAATACTCACGTGTCTGGTGAGCAGCCTAAGGTCAAAGAGGCATTGGAAGGTTCTGATTTATGTGTTTGTTGGTCGACGCACGGTTCATTCATTCAGGCCGCTTGACTTCAACGACTACCATCGCTACAACTGCTTCGTAAGCAACGTGTGCGGCACACGCATCTGCTTTTACCATTACAGCACATGCATTGCATGTGTGTGTCGTCTGACCAGGCTGTGTCGACCAAGAAGCGGATTCTGGTGCTCTCGGCCAAGACCGAGGAAGACAGAAGTACACACACAAGAGGACAAGATACGCAGCCGCGAGGCGCGTGTGTCCATTGTCCTCTTCCTATGTCAGAGGCGTGGATCCGTGCCTTCGCATCGGTGTGTGAGAAGCTCCTGCTCGCCCACCTGCAGATCGAGAAGCCCGTACCCGTCGTCCCACCGGCGGTGTCCATGCTGCCGGAGGACGGCTACCTCTCGCCCGTCGACGAGGACCCAGACCACGAACAGGAGGACGACCCTACCCCACCCAATGAGGGCATCGTGCTGGTCGCAGCACCCCCCAACAGCTTCCAGCTGCGTGAGGATAATGCCAGCGGCTCATCAGGTGGTGAGGCCAACAGGGATACGGAGGAGACGCCCAGGGGCTCTGTGGATCCGATGATACCCGTGGGTAGCAGTAGTGGAGAGGATGAGCAGCAGGAGGAAGGGATCAAGGAGGCGGTTGGCTTGCAGGCAGGGAAGGTGGAGGGGGAGAGGAAGGCTGTGTCCGTGGTGCCGGTGATGGCCCTGCCGCATCAGGAGAGCGATGGGACTGGCACTCAGGAGGCATCGGACACAGGTACATTGTACGCTCACGCGGCCATTTCCCCCTGGCTGCTGGCCTGATGTGATGTCTCTCTTTGCACGCAGATCGGCATGAGGGTGGCAGCATGGACGATGACAGCAGGAGCCCTTCGGTGCGTGAGCTACGCGACATCTTCCTCAAGAAGCGGCTCGACACGTCCTCTCCGCCTCGCCCCTCCCCCTCTTCTCTTCCGCAGCCCCCACCCATCCCGGCATCCCAATATGAAAAGCACGTTGTGAGGGTCCCCCGCAGCTCAGACGGAAGCCATAGCATGTCTCTCCGTCGCCGGTATTCGGGCAGTGAGTATTTCTGCCCATCCTACCTGAAGGGCGGCGATGGTGTGCAGCAGGGATATCTGTCGTTCCAGCCGAATTTCAGCCACACCCCGGACCGCCCCTTCACTCGTGGAGAGTTCTCTGGTAGCTATCTGGCGCTGCACGAGAGGGAGGGGGCGGCCAAGAGACATGGGGGTCATGTTGGTGGTGACGGTGAGGGACACCGGCCGTCTGCCCACCAGTATCCCTTTCCCTTCAACCTGCTGACAGGCCAGCCCCAGCCAGCACCACCGAACCAGCCCAAGCGCAGCACCAGCCAGCCGAGGGAGCGGGTCAAGGATATGATGAACTGACTGAGGGGCGGTCGGTGCCCTCTGCGTGCGGAGATAGCCTGACAGACGACAATGATTGAAACAGCGAGAGGGGTGGATGGGGCGAGGAACGGTTGGTTCATCTGATGATATGACTGACGGTGTGGAGACATGCGATCGATCCATCAAAGCATTTCATCGGGTCCATACAAACACGTCCGCAATGAGTGCACCAGAGGACCATTCATGTGTCATGCAGCCACCACATCCATCCATCCATCCATGGGTGAAAAAGACCAGCATACATCCGTCGATCGATCGTCTTGTCCACAGGCACCATGCAGCAAACGCACGATCAACCACGAAACACACAAGCTTGAGGCAGGCAGACCGTCATCGATTCATATGGCCGACACACCGAGGCAGCTTCATTCGATCAGACATATTGCACCCACGCATGCCGTTTAACGGACAGGTGCTGTGTACGGAAGGAAAGGAAGAACAAAACAACGGGAGATGTGCCTTCTCTCTCGGTCTGCCTCATCCATCCATCCATCCATGAGACTAGTGTACAATCATCATCACATCATAGCCAGAAGCCGGTCGAACGAATAGGGTCCGCGCCTCTCTTGTTCGCTGTCTGTTTTGGTGATTCTACAGAGGATAAAGGATTCACCCACTCCCACACAACCACAACCATCAGCCATCAGCCAGCAATGCAAAATTGGAATGCCAACACACATACACATACACACACACGTAGACAAGGCCAGTGCACAAGTACAGAGAGAGAAAGAGCCCCCCCAAGCAAGCTGAGCTCATCTGTGACACTGGATGGATGCAGCCCGTGTTGAATGGCCTCCTCCTCGCCGCCACTACTTCGTCGATCAGAGCTGCCCCCGCCCACCCATCGCTCTGCATGGCCAGTCGGCCCACATAGCGATAGATCAGCAGGTGCAGAATGACCGACGAAGCGGGTAAGGAAAGGTAGAAACACGGCAGGCATCTTGATACGAGGAATGAGTGTCTGTCTCCCATGTCATCCTCCTTCCTACCGTCTGTGGCCACGTCTATGTCCAGCGCCAGACCTACCTTCGCTTGTTGTATTTGTGACAAACGAAGGACGGTCTCGCACAGGCAAGATACGCAAGCCGAGACAATCGGACAGGGTGAATGGTCCAAGACAAGACAGGACAAGGCTGAGAGCTAGAGTAGTCGTCGCCGGATCGTTGGCCGCCCGTATCCACTGACTGTATTGGATGGATCAAAAATAGGCAACAATCGCATCGAGGGTACCTACAGCAGAGAACGGGTGGACGGCAGAAAAATAGGAAGGATGAGAGAGGGCCAGCCAGGAAGGGAGGGAGGCAGGACATCAACACAGCAACCGATCGAGCAGAGCAAGGCGACCAAACACTGGCACCATGATTGCACGGATGGCAACGCCGAAAAGGCCAACAGAAAGGAAAAAACCGTGCAGACGAGATGGATGCCTATCCATTCTTCTCCCTCCTCTCGGCCACCCCTCCCCGTCCCTCCCTGCCCCCTGACCCTCCCTCCCTCCTTCTCTCGGACACGACAGCAGGCGGGTCCGCTCAGCTCAGCTCACGGGTTGGGGTATTGCTCCATGAACTTCTCCAGTGACTCGACCATGCCTGTGTTGCCGACGTAGATGGGCGTCCGCTCGTGCAGCTCCGTGGGCTGCAGATCCATCACACGGGTGAAGCCGTCAGTCGCTTTGCCACCTGACGCACACACACGCACGAAAGCACAAAAAATCGGATCGTATAGCTGTAGGATGCTGCCATGTTGTTGGCTGACCTGCTTGTTCGGCGATGAATGCCATGGGGTTGCCTTCGTACAACAGCCGCAGCTTGCCCTTCTGGTCTGCACACACAAAAAAAGCACAAGGACTCTCACTGACATTTGCTGCTGTCCGGGTGAGAGAGGTGACTGACTGACCTTTCTTGGTTGGGGGGTAGAGGTAGATGCCGCCCTGCAGGAGGTTCCGGTGGAAGTCGCTCACCATCGAACCGATGTACCGCAGCGTGTACGGCCTGTCGCTCTGATGACAACACACACATAGCATAGGGAGGGAGGGATGTCAGAGATGGCTCCATCCTTCCGTCTTGTCTGTGGTCCTCACTCAACTCAGCTCACCTCTTCTGTCTGGCACCATGAGAGGAACTTCTTGATGCCCTCGGGGAAGGCCTTGAAGTTGCCCTCATTCACCGAATACACACGCGCCTTGTCCTGCACACACACACCGATCACTCATGCAGAAATGTACGCAGCCGTCCCTCCGTCCGCGGCATACCGGGAACCTCATGTCCCTGTGGGACAGGTAGAATGTGCCGAGTGAGGGGTCGAGAGTGAAGCCGTGCACGCCCTTGCCCGTCGTCACCACCAGCATCGTCGACGACCCGTACAACACATAACCTGCCGCTATCTGATCAATGTCACACACACACAGAGGGGAAGTGAGTTTGCAGCCAGTCAGTATCGTTTGAACGTTGTGTGTCGGCTGCGTGACCTGTTTCTTCCCCGGCTGCAGGAAGTCTTTGAGTTCTGGCAGCGACCCGACGGGCGTGATCCTCCTGTAGATGCTGAAGATGGTCCCCACAGACACATTCACGTCGATGTTGGACGAACCTGAATCGAATCAATCGACGTGGATACGATACACCACGTGTCACACATCTGTTGTCTGTCGAGTATGTGCCCAGCCAGCATCTATAGCTGCTATACCGTCGAGTGGGTCCATGAGCAGCACGTAGTGGCAGTTGGGGTTGACGGGGATGAACTCGTCATCCTCCTCCGAACATATCCCGCACACCACATCGCGATTCGCCAGCGCCTAACAACCGAGAACACGCAGTCAGTCACCCGAGCACCACATGCCTGCCCTGCTTGTCTGCCCTTGTGTGATTCCCCCCCTCATATATCCTCAGACCACACCTGCATGAACTTTGTGTTGGCGAATACGTCGAGCTTCTGCTGTGCCTCGCCCTGCACGTTCTCCGAGCCAGCCGCACCCAGGATGTCCGCCAGCCCCGCCTTGCTGATCTCGCGATTCACCACCTTGGCCGCCAACTTGATGGCAGTCAGCAACCTGCACACAACACCAACCGACACACACGGCAGAATGAGATGTGACTGGCCTTCCTCTTCGTGCAGATCTACCAGAGATCTGCATGACACGAAGCGTGGTTGCTGTGTGTGTGTGAGCTGACTTGTTCATTTCATTTTCTGATCCGCCCTTCTCCTCGACCTCATCCTTGTGTGCGATGATGAACTCGCCCAGCTCGGGGATGAGGCTCCCGTCCTTGCCAAGCAGCGTCTCGCTGAACGTCCTGTTGGGCGGATCTGTCAAAGCCATGATCGCCGGACAACGGGAAAGGGAGAGGGCGATTTTGTCAGAAGTGCAAGTCGGTCCAGGGTTTAGGGTCTAGGGTTCATAGACCGACGATCCACTGATCTGTGAGACAGGACGGCTGTTGAGTCTTTGTCCGTTCCATGAGACAGGCCATGGCGGACAGGACGTCAGACAGGATGGACTGACGCATACTACATGTCCTACGTGGACTCTCCACAAAATCCACAGACCTTACGTTGCATTGACTTAATCCTTTATCCGGGACTGACCGCCCGGCAGATCCTCTCTTCACCATTCTCCCCGACTCTCTCCCACCTATTCTTACATGGGCGCAGCAATCTGGTTTGTGTTTTCCGCCTGATCGGC